GTCTGAACCTGAAATTCTTCACTGTAATGGGAAAATGTAGTTCAAGAGTATGACAGCCTAGCTTGTCAGATTAAAGAATTTCAAAGTTTTATGATGCGAGCTCAGCCAGAATTTTATTTAAATTTCCCCCAGTGACCTGGAGATGCCTTGGGTCCCATATCTGGAAAAAGGTGTTTTGGAAAAATTGCATTCTTAACCTTTTTTGCAAAGAAAAATGATGTCATATCATTTTGACAAATGTGAATCTCCGTGAACGTCTGGAGACCACCTTTTGAAAACCATTAGTCAAGGAAAGGCATGACCTTGTTAGAAGTCAACCCTTTGAAAAAGTGATCTTTGTTTGAGTTCACAGTGCTCTCTGGTGAACTATAACTCCAAAACTCAAGGTCAATGCCCACCAAACCCTTCCAATATTTTCTGTTGGTCTTGGGAGTTTTGTGTGCCAAGTTTGGTTCAATTCCATCATTGGTGGAGTTCAGAATGCTCTTTGATTGTAGGTTAACTATAAATCCCAGCAACTACAACTCCCAAATGTCAAAATCAATTCCCCCCCCCCCTGCAACCCCTCCAGTATTCAAATTTGGTCCAGTAAATGAAAATACATCCTGTATATCAAATATTTACATTAAGATTCATATCAGTATCAAAATTACAATTATGAAGTAGCAATGAAAATAATTTTATGATTGAGGGTCACAACAACATGAGGAACTGTATTAAGGGGTTGTGGCATAAGGAAGGTTGAGAACCACTGATCTAGCATGTCCTGCTCCTAGAGATGACAGTCAACCTGTTGCCTTCATCTTTTAGCCATAATGAAAGAGACAGATATCAAAGAAGCTAGCATTTTTCCATGCAGCTTTGTAAACTAGTTGAAATAAGTTCAGGCTCTTTTTTGGCAAGCTAATACTGTAATTTCTTATATAGGCACGTGTAGTTAATATAAACCAAATAAGAAGTACGTCAGTTAAGGAAACGGCCACTATCTGTAGCCATTGCCTTGAATTTGTTATGCATTACAGTAGAGTCTCGCTCATCCAACGTTCTGTATTATCCAATGCAGTCTGCCTACCACCTGGATCCAGAACTGTTTCAATACGTTGCGATGTTTTGGTGCTAAATTCGTAAATACAGTAATTACTACATGATGCTTTTTATGTCGGTTTGTTGTAAAACATGAAGTTTTGGTGCTTAATTTGTAAAATCAACATAATTTGACGTTTAATAGGCTTTCCCTTAATCCCTCCTTATTTAACATTTTCACTTATCCAACGTTCTGCTGGCCTATTTATGTTGGATAAGCGAGACTCTACTGTACTTGGAAAGCCTCCGTTTTGAGATGAGCTATTGTATATTGGTTAGAATACCATATCCTTCCCTTCCTTTGATGTAGTGCCCTCCAGATGTGTTGGGTTTGCGTTTCTATCGTCCTTAACCAATACACTTGTGCTGCTGATTGGGGATGATTAGAGCTATGATCTAAGACTGTGGTTTCTAAATTAGGAAAGGCTGGAATAGAGTGTTGAAATCAAACCAAAGAAAGCTCACAGTTGGTATGTGCTGGCTGAGACAAATATGGGCAGGAAGCGAGGCTGTAGAGAAGACAGATCGTGAAAAATTTGTATCAACAAAGTACCAATATCATGCAATTGTGCCGAGGTGTGAAATAAATTGTTCCAATAATGGCATGTTTCTGTTCGTTAAAAAAACAAAAAAACAAAACATGATTGCTTCAAAAAGCCCTACACGATTGTGATGAGATAAAGCCTTGGAGGTGCTTTTTTCTGAGCAGATAGAGCTAGGATTGTTCTGTAAATGCAACATTCTGTCATAGATACCAGAGAGATCATCACTGAGGTCATTTAAAACCGTTTAACTGTTTGTTATTGTTCAGATGATAGTGGTGGTGATCATGATGATTTGGTAAAAGGAAGATATAACACAAAGCAGCTAATTTAAGCTTGACATATTTAGTGAAGTGTTGAGATATTAGCATGAAGGAGGTGCATGCTGAGGAATCAGCAGACTGCGCCATCCCTAAAGACACAAAAATACTTGTTTTCCTCACATTTCTCTTTCAAGATTGTGTCTGGACATGGCATTTTGTCATTTCCTGTCATCATTTTTAAGGAGAACTAAAGGGAAACAAAATATTTGCAATGGAGAGGCTGGGGTTCTTGGAAAGGGCTATGTGTGTGCGTTTACACACATTTTGGAGGATTCTAGTTGTGGTTTTCAGGCAATTCGAAACTTGGGACTTCTCTGGAGGCAACCCTCCAGAGAAGTCCCAACGGATTGGAGGAGGACAAATATCCCCAGAGCAAAATATGATATCCATATCAGGAAAGTTTCTAGAATAGATCCTTGGCCATGGTGGTTCGCGCTCTCGTTACATCCAGGATAGACTACTGCAATGCACTCTACGTGGGGTTGCCTTTGAAGACTGCTCGGAAGCTTCAAACAACCCAACAAGAGGCAGCCAGGTTAATAACTGGGGCGGCATACAGGGAGCATACAACTCCCATGTTACGCCAGCTCCACTGGCTGCCAGTTTGCTACCCAAGTGCCTATAAAGCCCTAAATGGCCCCAGCCCAATTTACCTGTACAAACGCATCTCCCCCTATGAACCATCGTGGAGATCAAGATCTGAGGAAGAGGCCCTGCTCTCCATCCCACCATTGTCACAGACGTGATTGTCGGGGACGAGAGAGAGGGCCTTCTCAGTGATTGCCCCCAGCTATGGAACTCCCTTCCTGGTGAGATCACACCGGCCCCCTCCCTTCTGTCCTTCAGAAGGATGGTGAAAACTTGGCTGTAAGAAATTTTACCAGGTCAATTAGATTAAACACAGATGATCAAGAAGGTGTTTAAACAGTGTATTTTAATGTTGAGACAAATGTTTTTAATGTTTATGTATATATATAATGAATTCATGTCCTGGTACTGAATGTTTGCCGTTTGTATGTTGTGCTCCGCCCTGAGTCCCCTTCGGGGTGAGAAGGGTGGAATATAAATGTTTTAAATAAATAAATAAACCATCGGTTTTGAGACCTTTACAAATATGTTGTGATTATTAAGAGTCAGTATGGGTTTTTCAAGAACAAGTCATACCAAATTAACCTTATCTCTTTGTAGTGGAATGCTGTGGAAATAGTATATCTTAATTTGAGTAAAGCTTTTGATAAGGTTCCCGTTGATAGTCTTGCGGGATTCATAGTGGATGCACAATTATTGACCAAGCAGCCAAGGGAGTACTCACCAATCGTCCTTTTTGATCGTTGAGAGAAGTGAGTCACACGATAGGGTCCAGTCATAAACTCACTGTTCCTCGATAAAGTAATCTTATTTCTTTCTTTTAAAAAAAATAGAGCTACAAGTTTGATAGACCAGGGAACTACTGTGGATGCAGTACATTTTGATTTCAGCAACACTGATGTGGTGCGCTACATATTATTACAGAAAGACTCTTGAAAGTTAATAAATGTTAATGTTAGGTGGGTTTATCATTGGTTGACATACTGAACTCAGAGACCTCTCACCAATGGTTGCTTTTTCTCCTGGAGGGATGTGACTGGTGAAATATAACTAGAATTTCCTTTCCAAAACCCAGCCGAATCTCTTGAGTAGGCACAGAGACCCTCAGGACTTATTTGAACTCCTTGAACGAACGTGACAGCAAACAGTGAAATATAATTTTATTGATCTGCATTGTTCATGCTATGAGCAATATCTAAATAAAACCAACCAAATTGAGAATAATATGACAGTGGAGTTCCAAGATGCAGACCTTAGTGGATGTGGTGGGAAGGGGTTGGAGAAGGGATAAATAAACAAGTGCTCCAAGCAGAAACTGGGTGCAATTCCAGACCTCCCCAAGATTTTATTTGTATCACCACAACGAACATCCCAAAATATAGCCTTGTTATAAGTTCTTTTCAGGTAGGAATTTGGAATGAAAGGAAGGTAGTATTTGGAAAAGGCTAAGTTGTGGAGCCCCCAGTGGTGCAGTGGGTTAAATCACTGATCTGCTGAACTTGCTGTTCATATCCAGGAGCGGGATGAACTCCTGCTGTTAGCCCTAGCTTCTGCCAACCTAGCAGTTCGAAAACATGCAAATGTGAGTAGATCAACAGGTACTGCTGCGGCAGGAAGGTAATGGTTCTCCATGCAGTCATGCTGGTCACATGAGCTTGTGGGTGTCTACAGACAACATCAGCTCTTCGGCTTAGAAATGGAGATACGCACCACCCCCTGGTGTCGGACACGATTAGACTTAATGTCAAGGGGAAACCTTTACCTTTAAGTTGTGGGAAGGCAGTAGCAAGGAGGATCTAGATCAGTGGTTCTCAGCCTGTGGGTCCCCAGATGTTTTGGCCTTCAACTCCCAGAAATCCTAACAGCTGCTACTGGCCAAAATACCTGGGGACCCACAGGCTGAGAATCACTGATCTAGGTAAAAGAAAGCCCTATGTGTGCAGGTATAAACTTACATCTTTGGGTTCTTCTGCAAGCACCAAAGTAAATTTCTGCGGGTGCACTTAAACCAATGAGTATTGTGTTGGAGATCTCAAAAGTAAAATAATAAAGTAGGGTAACTAATAAAGTAGGTTAACTAGTATGTGTAATTAATATTCCCTGAGAAACAGACATTTGATGAATGACTATATAAGGTCCATTTTATATAATGAAGCAGATACTGCTAATTGTTGTACTAATGTGTGTTTATATGTTTTAATTATGTTTTCACCTGGTTTTAATTTTTTTGTTGTGTCATCATGTTTTGACTATTGTATCTTATGGATTTTTAACAATGTCTTTTTAAATTGTAACAAGCTCCTTTGAGTTTTGATCTGAGGGAAAGAGCGTTACAGAATTAATAGTAGTAACAACAACATATATGCACATTTCCACAACTGATTCAGAGATCTACTGGTTCTTCAATTAACTTAGTACTGCTGGTTGTTTTTCATGCTAAATCCCCCCCCCCCCCTTCTCCCAGGTAATATGGTTGAATGGTGTTTACCACAAGACATTGATCTGGAAGGCGTCGAGTTCAAGTCTATGGCCAGTGGGTCCCATAAAATTCAGTCAGATTTCATGTAAGTGTACAGAATGTTCTCTGGGTTTTGGTCATAGTGTACAATTGTGTGTATCCTTACGTTGTCCAGAAATGAGCTTGCACAAACTGTACCTGGTTAAATGGACAAGATGCTCCTGGAAACTTGCCCGGGACTAGAAGCTAGTAGCTCAAGGACCAACATTGATTCAAAGATCACCATTCCTCAGATTTCTCTAACATGTCACTCCTCAATGGATCAAATGTCCCTCTCCCTCTTCTCAGATTTAAGCGAAGTGCTAGCAACAACATTAGCTGCCACCGAGGAGCCCCCGGTGGCACAGTGGGTTAAACCCCTGTGCCAGCAGGACTGAAAGTCACAGGTTCAAATCCGGGGAGAGATAAATGAGCTCCCTCTATCAGCTCCAGCTCCTCATGTGGGGACATGAGAGAAGCCTCCCACAAGGATGATAAAACATCAAATCATCTGGGCATCCCCTGGGAAACGTCCTTGCAGACGGCCAATTCTCTCAAACCAGAAGCGACTTGCAGTTTCTCAAGTCACTCCTGACACGACCAAAAAAAAAGCTGCAAATGATGTTAACTGACTGACATGAAGAGATAGCCACAGTTATCTATGCTTTGGTCAATTTCCCAAATAACCAACAGAAATGCATTGTATTTGAGGCTGCCCTTAAAGTCTAGTCCAGTACCTGAAGATGATGCAGAATATAACTGGTAAAATCTCAGTGGCATTGTTTGCCATAAACTTGTCTTTCCAGTATTGAATATCCCCTTGTTTTCTGATCTGCTTCTGAACCCAGTTCACAGTGCTTACACTGTCAGCCTTTCATCTCTTCAGACACTGCACCACAGATTCAATCTTCCACAGCTTAAAAATTCAAAAAGTTAAACTTTATTATGCAAGGACATTGCTCTTGTATGTAAGAGGACATGAGCATTCATGGATTTTGGTATTCATGAGCATTCTAGAATCAAACCCTAGTGGATATGAAGGGCCCACTTTCCTATAAAGCTATATATGTCTTGGAATATAAGTACATAAAGAAGGATGAGGAATGTTTGCCTGTGAATCTGAAGGAGCTTGTAGGTCCCACCCTTTCTCTCGTTGTTCTCTCCAACTCATCAGCCATTCCAGAAATAGATACCTGCTTACAGTATCTGTAATGCAGTGGTTCTGAACTTGTGGGTTCCCAGATGTTTTGACCTTCAACTCCCAGAAATCCTAACAGCTAGTAAAATGGCTGGGATTTCTGAGAGTTATAGGTCACAATACCTGGGGACCCACAGGTTGAGAACCACTGCTATAATGTTTTCTGTCTCCCAAAGCTCGGTTACAAACTAGTAGTAAAAAGGGTCATAGCTGAGGCATTGCTTTGTTTCTTCACAGACGGAAATTTTTCAACATAATACCCAGAGACTTGATGTCTTTTCACCTCTTGTCCCTTTGTATGGTCTTTCTTGATCCATCCTGGTATGTTTCTTTATTTTCTCTGCTACCTAGTTATATTGATCGTGTCTTGTGTTCCTTTCCAGTTATTTCCGAAAAGGATTGTGCTTTGGTTTGGCCTGCTTTGCAAACATGCCTGTGGAGAGCGAGGTAGAACGTGGTGCTCGCATGAAATCTGTGGGTATTCTTTCTCCTTCGTATACCCTGTTATACAGATATATGCACTTCCTGGAGAATCAAGTCAGGTAAGTCTTTAGGAAAAGGGAACATTGGTGGTTTAGTGTTCTTTATTTGTGCTTTGAAGTGTGTCATGGGAGAAATTTTCAAAACACCTTTGGAAAGGCAGGGTAAAATTTTTGAATATACACTATGTTGGCTGTGACAGGGATGTGCTATTTTGTCACTTGTTTTTGAGAAGTGATTACTTCCTTGTGGTATACAAAGTGAGATACCTGCATGGAGGTTGAATGGAGCCACCTGGTGGCATGTACACAAGTATAATACATCTTCTGGATGAAGGACTGCCTGTGCAAATTGGATGTTTCTCCTTGATGAGTGATATCATTTCACACTTTGGATTTAAATCATTACTCCATCCAAAAGTTGATTGTGCGCTAATGAGCTGAACTTCTTTTCTTTATGGTTCAAGGTTCAGTACCAACACCAATCCTTTGCATTATCTCTCTTATTGTTACTGGGGAAGAAATTGGGTGGGTGACAAAGAGGACTCTAGGAAGAAAATGTTTCTTTTTATTCCAGAGAGAGAATAGCATATAATCTTACTCTAGATTGGGAAACTCATCCTGTTTGATTCCAGGAAGGCCATCCTATGAATACTCTCACAACATACTTTGCTGTATTATTTGTCTTCCAGGCACCAACTGGAGATGCCAGGACACTACTCTCACTTAGAAGCATTTTATGATGACAAGAAAGGTGTTCTCCCGGCTGGCACCCCTGCTTCCCAGCAGCCCATCCACTGGTTGCCTTCCATCCATAGATACATGTACCCAGAGATGAAGGTAAGGAACCAATAGAATCATAGAGATGGAAGAGACCTCATGGGCCATCCAGTCCAACCCCCTGCCAAGAAGCAGGAAAATTGCAGTCAAAGGACTCCCAACAGATGGCCATCCAGCATCTGTTTAAAAACCTCCAAAGAAGGAGCCTCCACCAGATTCTGATTTAGTGCAAAATGTGTTGATGTTCCAAATTGACCATATTGCTTGGTGGGTTTGGCACCCAGCTGATGCCAATTTGACACTTCTTGCATCACAATGGATTAATGGATGGCCACCTGAGAACCACACACAAACTACTCTTAAGCTTTTTGGCAAAAGGGTGAAAAACAAATGTTAAAAATGTGGGTGTAATGAGGCAAGATAGGAGAGCAGACGTGACCCAGATTCAAGGTCAGCAGGGCAACTTTGAAATAGTCTCTCACTCTCCCAAAGTTATGTTGCTATCAAGAGGAAGGATCTGAGTATGTCCCTCTGATCTCTTTGGAAGAAAAGCAAGATAACATAGCAGTAAACAAAATAAATGAATGAAGGTACTTTTTGTGAGATAGCAGGGATATTCAGGATTGTATATTATATTAAGAGATCACTTGTAGAATTTTATTGCACAAGCCGAGCATTGCACCTGTCCTTCAAAACATACTTTCATTTTTTTCTTATGTTTATTATAATTTTTTTGCTTCCGTTCAAAACAGCTCAGTGTGACTTACATGGATTTTAGGTAGGTTAGGCTTAGAAGAGAGTGAGCTTCATGACAGAGTGACTATTTGAAGATAGAAGTCCTCTCACTTCCATCTCACCCAACCTTGCCTGCATGGTTTATTTGTCATGTTTGCATATTGTCTTTCTTCCAGATCCCCCAGGATAGTATATTTGGGGTCTCCAGAAAGCCATTCTTGTATTCATTATGATTATTTAGTCTAACCCTTGACTTCAGTTTTTTTAATAAGTTATATTGAGTTATTTGATTTCAGGTTTTGCTTTGATTGTTGTTTATCTGTTTATTGGCACTGAATGTTTGCCATTTTTGTTATTTCTGTAAACTGCCCAGAGTCCCTGCGGGGAGAGAGGGCGGGTTACAAATAAATGTTTTTATTATTATTATTATTATTTATCCAGATATTCACCAAAATCAGACCTGCTTATCGCCTATAAACAGGAACTCTCTGCATTTGCTGCTTTCAGACTGTTGGTGGCTCCAGGTGCCACTTTCATGGTTTGCAGAGGCTACACTTGATTTGCTCTAGTTTTGGTCACAAGTGGGAGGCGAGAAAAGTTGGAGAATCTTGTGTTTCTGCTATCATAAAGTGTAAAAGCATTGGGACCTGAAAGAATTAAAGGGTACAGATTTGATACTGAAACAAATATAGTTATCATTTATAGACCACACAACCCAAAGAATGGGAAACGTCTTAGTAAGATGCATTTCCTTCAGTAGCAGGAACAAGATGAATCTCAGGAGTCCTTTTCATCCTTAATATCTGTAAGATAATAATAATGTGTATTACAAAACATACAGACATAGAGTAAATTATCAGGTACTCCTTTTCTAAAATAATTCTGCTGACACACATCCAGTTTTTCAGTGACTATTGAAGGATGACAAATTTGAAAGAAAATTGTCAGCACCGTGACTCAGAAAAACCATCTTGAGAAGATGGTAGTGACTTGTGGAGTTCTAGGGCACTGCCTCATCCTTTGGTTTAATTTTAGCTGCCACCCTTTCAGTTGCTAAAATTGAAGCCACCTTGTTAGATTTTTCTCACTTTTCCCCTCCCGTGTTTTTCTTTGGTTGCAGATCACACATCCTGCAGGCTGCATGTCTCAGTTCATCAAGTTCTTTGGCGAGCAAATCCTTACTCTCTGGAAATTTGCCTTGCTTCGGAAACGCATCTTGATATTTTCACCACCTCCTGTTGGTGTGGTCTGCTATAGAGGTAAGTGTGGAATAGGAGAGGCAAAAGGAGCTGAAGAACCATGAATGGTGTGATCACAGTGAAGATAGAAGTTGTCTCTTATTTCAAACTACAAATGCTTAAAAAGGGTCACCTAAAGAGATGTTCAGGAAGCATTTTAGGGTCAGCGTGTTGTAGTGATTAAGCTATGATTATGACACTGTGACTAAGGTTTGATTACCTGCTTGACCATGGAAACCTACTGGATGATCTTGGGCACATGACATATTCTCAACCCCAAAAAACTCAATGCTAAGATTGTCATAAGCTGTAAATGACTTGAAGGCAACAACTACGATAGAATGACTTATTGTCAAGTTCTAACAAGCAAACCAATTTTCTGTGGTCTCAAGTACCTTTGCTGCATTTTGATTCTGTTTATCATGTGAGGAGCCCTCAGTAGTGCAATGGGTTAAACCCTTGTGCTGGCAGGACTCTAACTGAAAGGTTGGTGGTTTGAATCCAGGAATCCGTTTGAAAGCGGTGTGAGCTCCCATCTGTCAGTTCCAGCTTCTTACATGAGGACATGACAGAAGCCTCCCACAGGATGGTAAGACATCCGGGCCTCCCCTGGGCAACATCCTTGCAGATGGCCAATTCTCTCACACCAGAAGTGACTTGCAGTTTCTCAAATTGCTCCTGGCATGAAAAAAAAATGTGAGGAAAAGAGACTTTTTGGTGAAGGATAGAGCTGCACCACTTCCTCAAAAAGATCCATACGTCTCTTTAGATAAATAATTACAATAAATAATTTGTGGCAACCCATGAACCATAAACTATGATTACTGTTTAAAAAAGAATCTTTCTTTAGAGCTAAAATGATTATTATAAACTACAGGCAGTCCCAGAGTTACAAAAATCTGACTTATAATCAACTCATAGCTAAGAACAAACGTGAGACAACAAGGAATGAGAGAAATTTACGCCTAGGAAGGGAAATTCACTCCTGAAAGAATTATCATGGGGGGAAAAGGTATCTCCACTGAAGCTTTTTCATCAATCTTTGTCTTCATATCAAGCCAAATTTTTCAAATCCAATTATCACAGGAACCGAAAATGAGGGGAAATCTTTTGAACAGAAACACAAACAGCATAAAGACCACAGGGGTGCTGACCCTTCCCTATGCTAGCCAACTAGCTAGCTGTTTGTGTGTGTGTGTATGTCTCTCTCTCTCTATATATATCTATCTATGGCTTTTTTTTTTTGTCGTGTCAGGAGCAAGTCACTTCTGGTGTGAGAGAATTGGCCGTCTGCAAGGACGTTGCCCAGGGGACGCCTGGATGATTTGATGTTTTTATCATCCTTGTGGGAGGCTTCTCTCATGTCTCCGCATGAGGAGCTGGAACTGATAGAGGGAGCTCATCCACCTCTCCCTGGATTCGAACCTGCGACCTGTCGGTCTTCAGTCCTGCCGGCACAGGGGCTTAACCCACTGCGCCACTGGGGGCTCCTATCTATGGCTGGAGTTACCTGTTTCAACTTATAAACAGATTCAACTTAAGAACAAATGTACTGAACATATTTGTTTGTAACTTGGGGACTATGTGTATTTGCAAGTCTTTAAATTATCCAGAGATCTATGAGTAGACTCTCATTTCCTTCCTGCCCATTCCATGGTATATCGTATCTTCCTGATTTACTTTTCTTAGGCCTAAAAAGCAAAGTGTGTAAACTCAGGGTTGTTGTATGTTTTTTTGGGCTGTATGGCCATTTTCCAGAAGCATTCTCTCTTAGCATTTCACCTGCATCTATGGCAGGTATCCACAGAGGTTCTGAGGATGCCTGCCATAGATGCAGGTGAAACATCAGGAGAGAATGCTTCTGGAACATGGCCATACAGCCCAAAAAACATACAACAACCCAGTGATTCCGACCATGAAAGCCTTCAACAATACATTGTGTTAAACTCTATCGGACAATTAAATAGATCTTTTGTTTTGTTTTGGTTTGGTTTGGTTTTTTTAATACAGCCATTTCATCTAGTATGAATTGGGTGTTCCTTGCATATGCTGATGTTTCCTTACTGGGATCACTTTTCAGACCTTCACTTCTGAAGGCAGGTAGAATGGAAAGCACTTTTGTCCATCCTTCTGATGCAATTTCTGTCCTGCTCTGCAGTTTATTGCTGCTGCTGCCTTGCTAATGTCTCCTTGCCTGGAATTGGTGGGACTGTCCCTGAGTCAAAGCCTTTCTTCTACGTCAATGTGGCTGATATTGAAATGCTGGAGACAGAAGTGTCCTATGTGGCTTGTGAGTATGCTGAGTATGTTCTGTTTCTGAATGGGTTGTTGCCTTTCATCCTGAAGTTCCTGCACTTCTGGTATGGCAAATATTTGGGCCAAAATCCAGCTACTGCCATTGTCTATTATTGTAGAGGTCTGGCCCTGAACATGAAGCAACCATGGAAAGCTTTATACATTCAGCAAAATTAAATATTATATTTTCTGGGATGGTACCCTTTCAAGATTTCAGGGTTGTGTTTTTAGAGTTAAGAATGCTTTTGGGACAGCAAAAACTGTTGAAGACAGTATCTTGAGAAGTCTCAACTGAATCTTTGCCTTTAAGATGCCTCTTGCATCTAATTCCCTTTTTGGAGAACACCTAAACATGCAATATTCAAACCACCCAGTATGGATGCTTTCCAGGAATTCTTGAATTCTGCTCCACACCTGCCAAGCATCAAATTTTTATGCAAATTAAGAGAGCATAGAAATAAAATGAGTATATAAACATATGTGAAAATCAAACAGACAGAAAGTAGATTGCAGTTTCAAACCAGCATTGAATAAAGTGGTTTCGTTATACAGGTGGTTACATAGGAATTCCCAGAATCAGTCTGAGGTTCAGGTGGTGATTGTACAAACCCCAGAGCACTGATGGGCATTATGGCCTATATTTCATGCACTATTGTGGGAGTTGGTTATCTAGCTGCAGCAGTTATTCAGAGCTAGCTTCAAAATGCAATAAATAGTCATTATAGATGGGACTAGAAGCCCCTGGTGGTGCAGTGGATTAAACCACTGAGCTGCTGAATTTGCTGACTGAAAGATTGGCAGTTCAAATCCATGGAGTGGGGTGAGCTCCCGCTGTTGGCTCCAGCTTCTGCCAACCTAGCAAGTCTAAAACATACAAATGTGAGTAGATCAATAGGTACTGCTTCTGCGGGAAGGTAACGGCATTCCATGCAGTCATGCTGGCCACGTGATCTTGCCGACTGGCATAGAAATGGAGATAAGCACCACCCCACAGAGTCAGACATGACTAGACTTAGTGTCAAAGGAAAACCTTTACCTTTATCTTATAGATGGGGCTAATTACACAGTTAAGTGATGCTGCCTTAAGGGATGGCCACACATCTCCAAGTCTGATTTTCTGGCAAACCTTAGGGTAAAAGGTTTAAAGCACAAATAAAACTATTGCAAACAAATCACCATAGACATTGTGAGTCAGGATCAGAGCCTCTAAGAGTCAGGTATGATGTAGACAGGTAGAATTAGTGGTCTGGTTTGCATATTATCTCAGAATTCAAAGACTCTACTTAGGTATAAAATATTAGAGATTTTTATTTGGAAACCATGAAGTCAGTACAATCTGCTTTGAAGACAGTCTGTGCCTAGCTGTGGGCAGGAATTTGTGCATACTCCCCTCCTTGTTTTCAATGGGACTACGTGCAGTTAACACCGCCTGGATTCAGACTCATTTTCTCGCTGTTTTCTCCGCAGGCACAACAGAGAAAATCTTTGAAGAGAAGCGGGATCTCTATGATGTCTATGTGGATAACCAGAATGTGAAAACACACCATGAGCACCTGCAGCCACTCCTGAAGATTAACAGTGCAGACAAGGAAAAATACCGGAGGCTTAATGATCAGAGGTAGCTTCAAAGGCTAGCATAGGAAACGGTGTCCTACGTTTACAGATAATTTTGAGTGTTGGATTTGGAAGCAAATCTGTATTTACCAAGTTCAAACTGTTCCATTCTTTTTCTAAGGGTTTCGGAGACGACTCTTCTTAAAATCAAGAGCCTGGAAATATATTCTGTCAAAACTTTAAAATGTCTGCTACCTAAACCTAGTTCTCCCTAACAGCATTACATATCAATGAAATAACCCAGAAGTTGCCCTTAGTTTTCTTGAGTCAAATGGGATGTATTCTCCCATGAGAGACTATAGGGGAAGAGCTTCAAATTCTTCAGGTCTGATATATATCATGTCAGAAGCGAGTTGAGGGTACAGTTATAATGCATAAGAAACCACAAACAAAGTTAAAAACTTGGCATTATGTTCAATGTCCTTTGACCAAAAATTGGCCACTTGGAGAGCCTCTGGTGTTGCCGTGAGAAGGTCCTCCATTGTGCATGTGGCAGGACTCAGACTGCATTGTAATAGGTGGTCTGTGGTTTGCTGTTCTCCACACTCGCATGTCGTAAACTCCACTTTGTAGCCCAATTTCTTAAGGTTAGCTCTGCATCTTGTGGTGCCAAAGCACAAATCTGTTCAGCTCTTTCCAGGTCACCCAGTCTTCTTTGTGCCCAGGAGTGAATCTCTCATCTGGTATCAGCCACTGATTGAGGTTCCGGGTTTTAGCCTGCCTCTTTTTGACTCTGGCTTGCTGAGGTGTTTCTATGAGTGTCTCTGCAGATCTTAAGAAGCTGTTTCTTGATTTAAGGCTTTGGCGTGCTGGCTGATATCCGAACAGGGGATGAGCCAGAGATGTCACTGTCTTGGTCCTATCATTATTGGCTGATACTTCCTGATGGATGTCAGGTGGTGCAATACCATATAAACAATATAATTTCTCCAGTAGTGTGGGGCATAGACATCCTGTGATAATGCAACATGTCTCATTAAGGTGAGATGTATTCCACACTGGGCATGCAACAGAGTAGCAAAGCACAAAGGCAGATGGTCTGATATGATGGACAATCTCTATGTTTTCTTCATCTAGGCAGATGCTGATGTACTCCCAGGAAGTCGATGGGGACTGTAGTTCTTGTGAAGAAGACCTCTTCATCCTGTAAGTTGTTCATATGAGATTCTTTAAGGAATTGCTCCATATTAAAATAAAAATAAAAATCTTTATTATGGTCATAGACCCGCATAAGGAGAGTGAGCTACAGTCTCATAAAAGCATTGCACATTAAAATCTAAAAGGCTAGAAAAGAGAGATATGTTGAAGTCATTGTTCTGCATCCTAATCTCCAGAGCAGCAGAAAACAAGCCTGCTCCCTCCTCCCTATGACTTCCACTCACATATTTATACATGTCTATCATGTCTCCTCTCAGCCTTCTGTTCTGCAGGCTAAACATGCCCAGCTCTTTAAGTTGCTCCTCATAGGGCTTGTTCTCTAGACCCTTGATCATTTTAGTCGCTCTCCTCAAGACACATTCCAGCTTCACAACACCTCCCTTCAATTCCTGTGCCCAGAATTGGACTCAGTATTCCAGATGTGATCTGACCAAGGCAGAATAGAGGGGTAGCATGACTTCCCTGGATCTAGACACTATTCTATTTATGCAGACCAAAACCCCATTGGCTTTTTAAGCTGCCGAATGACATTGTTGGCTCACGATTAACTTGTTGTCCATGAGGATTCCCAATGTCTTTTTCACACATGCTGCTGTCAATCCAGGCATCTCTCATTCTGTATCTTTGCATTTCATTTTTTTCTGCCCAAGTGGAGTATTTTCCATGGGTCCCTGTTGAACTTCATTTTGTTACTTTTGTCCCATCTCTCTAATCCATTAAGATTGTTTTGAATTTTGTTCAGTTCTCAGGAATTCAGGGAGTTGAAGGCCCAAACAGCTGGATGCCTGCCTCTGTCCATGGCTTCTGACAATAGAACAACCCTGGAATTCACATGTCTTTTGCATTCTCTCTCTGAAGGTTCTTCATGGAGCAGAACAACCGGATATTTCAGACTCTGATGGAGGTGTCGGCGAGCCAGGACAAGACACTGACAGCGGACCATGCCCGGGGAATGGGCTTGGACCCCCAGGGGGACCGTAGCTTCCTTATGGACCTGCTGGAAGTCTATGGCATTGATGTCATGCTGGTCATTGATAACCCTTGTTGTACTTAAAACAGAGGATGCCCAAAGGGTGAGAAATGCAGAACTCATGAGCGAGGGGATGGCAGCAACTCCAAAGACTATGGGATGCAGGAGGGCAGCTTCACTGGAACTCACCGCCACTTGTGTCATGAAGGATTGCCTTTTATTTAAGAGAATTCTTTAGAGAAAGTGTTATTTATCTGAATATATTTTTCTCCTGTGGACTGTCATTTTCAGATATACCACAACCAAGATGTGATATATGTCCTCCTGGATAGACTGTCCGACCATTCTTTCCCTCTTTGGGTTCTGTTGACGGTTTTCCTTCCTGTCCGTCTCATTTGCTCATAAATAACCCAGCATAAGCATCTTTTGAAAGCCTAGTCCAGATGTGTTGGGTGGAGAAAGCACTTTATTCTCTTGGGGACCAATATGAAAATAATAATAATAATGCTGCTTTGATATTCCATGACTTGACTGTATGTCAGGAATGGGCAAACCCCAGCTATCCAGGTGTTTTGGACTTCAACTCCCACAATTCCTGGCCTCAGGCCCCTTCCTTTTTCCCCTCAGTCGCCAAAGTTTGCCCATGCCTAACTGATAGGTTATACTACTTCATATTATGTAGAAGCAATCCCATTAGTTTTTGTTCTTTTTTTGTTACTCCTACTGCTTGCTTCGTGAATATTTAAATGCTTGAATTCCACCCATTTGGTGTTTCATCTTAACTTGCAAGGTTTAGGTTTTCACTGTGGCATCAAGAGGATAGGTTATAGGAGGGCATTTTCCTCTTTTTGCATACATCTGGAAATGTGTTCTCCAGATGCTGAATTACAATTCCAAGCATTCCTCACTACTGAACTGTTTATAGGGTGGCTGGGAGTTGCAGTTCAGCCAGAATTGGAAGAACACATACCGTATATACTCAAGTATAAACTGACCCAAATGTAAGCCAAGGCATCTAATTTTACCACAAAAAACTGGGAAAGCTTGTTGACCTGAATATAAGCCAAGAATGGGAAATGGAGCAGCTACTGGTAAATTTCAAAATAAAAATAGATACCAGTAAAATTACATTAATTGAGACATTAGTAGGTTAAATATTTTTGATTGTATTACCGTATTTAAAAAAAATCCCTGTAAAATAACTTAAGTGGAAAAGTAGGGTCAACAAATACAATATGGTCTCAACAACAACAACACTTCATTTGTATCCTGCCCTATCTCCCCATGGGGACTCAGGCCAGCTTCCAACATAGTAACAGGCAAGCATTCAATGCCTATATAAACAATGCAAAGCTAGATATAGATCTATAATTATATAGACTAATTTCACATATGCATTTTCCCCTGAAACATTTGCAAATCCTTTCCTTCTATATGTGCATTTTCTTCCCTAATATCTATAGTTGTATATGTCTATCTAGACATCTCTCTCTATAGATAATTATATACAAATACACATAGATATATAGGCACCTCTATATATTTATCGATATCTATGGGATTTGCAGAGACTTGCAAATATGTTAGAGGGAAAATTATATAAAATAATGTATACATATAGATACAGATATACAGGTACATGGAAATATCTAGATATCTATGTGTATATATGATTTGCAAGGATCTGCAAGGATATGAGGGGAAAACTTCCAAGGTAACAAAATGCACATATAAAGTTAGATACACACACACAAACCAGCCAGGAAATTGGGTGGGTTTGAAAGAGAGCCATACAGGCAAGGAGGACATGAAGTATATCTCCTTTCCCTCTTTCTCTCCCTTTTGACTGGAAAACACATTGTCAAGGGAGGTGAAGAGGAGAGAGAACTACATCATATAGTGCAACCAATGGCCTCCAGGCTCCGCTTCCCAGCTTGACCTCATTATAAGCCAAGGGAGGGTTTTTCAGCTCAAAAAAGGGTTTGAAAAACCCAACTTATCTTCGAGTATATATGGTAATTCCAGCCCTATATAGTAGATTGCACTTGAAGATATAGCTGCGGCTTGTCCTTACTGGGCTGCATTAAACCTTGCAGCCATTCTCTCATTGAGCAGAAGAGTCTGATGTCAAATGATTCCTTTCCAAAAGGAATGCACTTGACATCAACATTAACTTTCACTAGTGCTTTGTAGAACTTCTCAACAGCTTGTAGTTATAGAACTGAACCATCTCAGAAGACCTTTCTTGGCAAACAGGAATTGGATTGCTTCTCATTAAACTAGGACTTAAGGTGGCCTTGGCTATTCCTTGACATCTGTTGACCTGTTATTCCTTGTGAAGGAGCCTGTACAGAAGCAGTTTGTGTCTTTGATTATTTGGGAAGACATTGGAGTTTTGAACTAGAACAGCAATTGTGAAATGTTTGGAAAAGACGGAAGCAGTTAGGTGTGATTGGAAATCTCCTATTTGATTTTATCTTGAAGGAAGATGGTAAGAGTTATCAAACACACACCTTTATATTCTCTGCTTGCATGAAGCACTGGACTTGGATATTGTGGCTTATTTGACATAGAGAAGACTAAGATTTTTAAATCTGTGAAATAATTTATTAACAAATTGAGTGCTCTGTGTCTTGAGTTCAATTTAAGCAATGTCATGTTGCCACAGAGATTTTTTTTTCTGTGTCAGGAGCAGCTTGAGAAACTGCAAGTTGCTTCTGGTGTGAGAGAATTGGCCGTCTGCAAGGACGTTACCCAGGGGACACCTGGATGTTCGATGTTTTAACATCCTTGTGGGAAGCTTCTCTCATGTTTCCGCATGGGGAGCTAGAGCTAACAGAAAGAGCTCAACCCTCTCTCCTCGGATTTGAACCGCTAACCTGTCAGTCAGTAGTCCTGCCGGCACAACCCTTTGTGTCATCAGGAATGTGCATCAAGCTAAGCTCTGTTGCTACAGGTGGCGTAGTTTTTGTAGTGGCTTCACTATTTGTGTCCTTGGTTCACTATCTAAAGGCATGTATATACTTCTCAGAAGCTTTCCACTGGATGTGAAGGGATTTCATTGAGACTTTGCTGTTTTGAAATCCCAAATTGGCTTCCCCCAACTTCAGTCATCCAGAGTCAGCATCATCCATCCCTCCTGGGGGTAAGCAGCCACCGGGGTGATTCACTCCTGTGTCTTGGCAGAAAGAGACATTGTGTGTCTAAACGCTTCACTCCTACCTCAGTGGTCAGCAGGAAGGATTGTTCCCTTGCAAGTACTTGAGTAACTTATTTTATATCTTGAAATGAAATTGAAATACTTTGCATTTGCTGTAAGTAAATCATTCTCTCAAGCAATTCCGATGGTTGCACCTCTTGGCTCATTACAGCAGAGTCGATTTATGGGTAGGGCTGCCCAATGTCCCCTTTTTGCACAATCCCCAAAGATGCAGCAGGACACTTGCTATTGGGATATCATACTTGGAACTAAGCAGAGCCTATTATTAATTCAAAATCTGAGTTTTAGAGACACTAGGAGAGAGACCTTTCTTGGCAAACAGGAAGAAAGTGTAGTGTTCTATTATTTTATTGTATTGTATTTATTATGCTTCCTGAATCGGGTTGTCCTTAAAGTAAAGGTAAAGATTTCCCCTTGACATTAAGCCTAGTTGTGTCTGACTCTGGGGGGTGGTGCTCATCTCCATTTCTAAGCTGAAGAGCTGGTGTTGTCCATAGACACCTCCAAGGTCATGTGGCCAGCATGACTGCATGGAGCATTGTTACCTTCCTGCTGGAGCAGTACCTATTGAACTACTGACATTTGCATGTTTTCAAACTGCTAGGTTGGCAAAAGCTGGGTCTAACAGCGGGAGCCCACCCCGCTCCCTGGATTCAAACCACCAACCTTTCGGTCAGCAAGTTCAGCAGCTCATTGGTTTAACCCGCTGCAACACCAGGGGATCCATTAAGGAAAATGGGATAGTCCTTAAACCTGAATAATTAATAGCTATGAATTTTTGAATCAGGAAACAATGCAGGGCTTGGGAGGGCATTTCTGGAAAAAATAAAAAAATGATAGTAATTGATAGTAATTTCTCAGATTCTTGGCCACTAGTGCTAATATTTTTACATTTGCCTGAAATGTAGAAATTTAGCAGGTAAAGCGCTTCTGCCACTATGTATGGTCATACAGTAGTATAAAACATCATTTTATTTGTGTGCGGCAGAAAGCTTTTGAGAAAAGTGCAGGAGCAACTGGCATTTTTTTAAAAAGCTGGCAATGTGCAAGCAGGTTCAGCTACAACTGTCAAAGCTATCATCAAAGTATGCAACATTCTGAAAATAAGGTTCTTTGTTGTCACATTTGCCTCGTTTTTAAATGTAGTGCATAGAACTCTTTCCCACCTGGTCTGTTTTATTTCCCTGGCCTCAACCATGCAACTTTTTGTTCTTTGGGAAAGAGATGGATATTTGATCATTTTCCCTATTTAATGGGTGTTTGTTTGTTTGTGCGAGTGATCCACTTCCTTCTCTTGACACTTTATTTGTAGGCAATATAAACTGTTCACAAGAGGAAAGCCTTGAAGCAGCAACAGCCAATAAATGGGGTATTTTAAGAGTCCACGCAAGGATTGTTTGTAGTGCTGGGTCTTGGCTCAAAGATATCTTTGTACAGTAAAGTTGAAAATATGTGGCTTGAAACTTTTCTTTTTGCAGTCATGTCTGAAGCTAAGACCTGTGATGATATGGCATGCAAAGGACATTCTGCCACAGCAAACTGCAGCTTCAGAGCCAAAATGCATAGTGAAAAGCTGAATATTTTAATCTGATTTGGTTTGGGTTTTTTTTTCTGTGTCAGGAGCGACTTGGGAAACTGCAAGTCGCTTCTGGTGTGAGAGAATTGGCCGTCTACAAGGACATTGCCCAGGGAACGCCCGGATCTTTTGATGTTTTACCATCCTTGTGGGAGGCTTCTCATATGTCCTCGCATCAGGAGCTGGAGCTGACAGAGGGAGCTCATCTGCGCTCTCCCTGGATTTGAACCTCCGGCCTGTCGGTCTTCAATCCTCCTGGCTTTAACCCATTGTGTCACCGGGGGCTCCTATAAATATTTAACAGATGAATAAGTTCACATGCCACTACTGTGCCACCGGGCACTCCATCTGATTTGGTATAAGGTGGTGTACAATGTATGCAAAACAACAGAAACCCTGCATACTATTGTCTTTTCCAAGATTTTTTCAGGCTGTGCTTTGCTTACTGACCTTCAGGGGTAGAAAATACTTCTAAACCTGAAGGGATTGTGCAAAGACCACCCACTTTCAGGTTTATCAGTATTTTCCTGTCCTAAGACCAATTAGCCCTTTAAAATTCTTCTTTTTTGGCAATAGGAGGTTGCTGAAGCCTCAAAGGGGAAATAAGATTGATATGTACCTTTCTGAAATTACGCTAGAATCAAAAATTGCAAGTTCTCTGGAAGAAATATGCAGACCCCAATAAATCTGATATCTGTCCCATTCTACTCTTGCTTGTTTTGGGGGCATTCAAAGACCATTTCTGTAGCCTTTCCATGGCTAGGTGTTACCATTTGACTGGTCCTACTCTGTAAACGCCATTAAATGACTACTTCTCATTATCCTCTCTTGTATACAAGAGGATATAGGTACCTGGTATATTGTAACTATGTACAATATGTACAATCTTAATATCAGCTGCAACTTTGTTGCTGAGTAAGCTAGAGTATTTTTTCCCTCATCCTAGGACAGCATGGAATAATTGCCACTGGAGCATTTAAATATACGGTTGCAGAAATATCATTTGAAATTGAAATTTGATAGATAGCCCTTCTTCCAACCAAATTAATAATTCAGTTTTAGCTTTTCATGTGGAGACAGCTAAATCCAAGCCACCTATTATTCACTGCTGTCCTTTGTGAGAATATCTTAGTAATCAATACTTTCTGCCTCTCTCCTGTATTGCAAAAACACTGGAAAATACTTTTTTGTCTCAGAAATCAATAACCATAAAACAACTTTTGAACACTTTTGACAACGTGATTTCTGCTGGTGATCTTGTAATTGCAACTTTTAGATGACATAGATACAAGTTTAACATGGGCCTGGCAATAAGATCTGCTGCGGGGAATGATCCTGACCAGAATACTAGTCATGAGTTAAGATACTTCTGTTATTTCTCCCAAGCCTATTCATAGCTTTTCTCTTGTGTTGTTTCTGTTGGTGCTGTTGTAAAGACAGACAATAATAAATCTGTGATGCTCCCCCTGCTGTACAGGATAAAATGTGCAAGCTTGGTATGTAAATAGTGTTTAATGCTAATTAGGAATGTGAAGATGTTCTCATCTTTCAAGAGAAACTATGATTTATTGAGAACATGGTGAATAACTTAATTTCTTTTATCTCCTCTGCATTCCAGGGCTTTTTGTGAGAAAGTCATTTGTAAAATATACAGAAAATATATGGGAAAATGTATTTGTGTAGAAAAGTATTTTGCAATAAACCCCCCCGAAATACAAATAATATTTGGAAAATGTCCAAGCATTCAGTCTTACCCAGCTGGGAGAAAACTTGTGAATTTATTTGTTCTTATTTAGTTGGAATGAAATTAAGAGTTACACTCCTAATTTTGATAAGGACAGAAATTACTCATATTTCTCCAGCTCCTCATTTAAAAACAAAATATGACACACTTGTGTGTTGAACACAATTGGTATTTTTGCGTGTTTACAGATATATCACCTTACTTGTGAACCACTGTCCCTTCTTTTATTTATATTTAAAGACATATTTGACTCTTGCTTCCATTTTTTTTTTCATTTCAGGAGCGACTTGAGAAGCTGCAAGTTGCTTCTGGTGTGAGAGAATTGGCCGTCTGAAAGGATGTTGCCCAGGAGATGCCTGGATGTTTTGATCTTTTTGCCATCCTTGTGGGAGGCTTCTCTCATGTCCCCACATGGAGAGCTGGACCTGACAGGAGCTCAACCAGCTCTCTCCAGATTCAAATCGCCGACCTATTGGTCAGCAATCTTACCAGCAGACAGGTTTAACCCATTGCACCACTGGGGGACCCTTGCATCAATACTCCAGAGTAGGCATCCTCAAACCGCGCCCCCCAGCTGTTGGGGCCAATAAGCTTGTTCAATTGTCAGGAGTTGAAGGCCCAAACAGCTGGAGGACTGCAGTTTGAGGATGCCTGCTCCAGGGTGTATATGATGCTTTCTAACAATAGGCAGTATTCCTATCACTGGCTAGTTCATGTGTGCACATGGATCATTTGATGTGGAGGCAGCTGAGTGTATGGACCAACCTTTGAAATGTCTACTGCATGATGTCATATGTGGCAATGATGGGCTCTGATGGCCCTCTTAATTCATGTAAGTCAAATGGTAAATATATATCTGTGAACCAAGTCAAAACATCTACTGTGCAAGTAACTGCTTGACTTTTTACCTCTCATAAATAGCTGCTAGCTTCACTGCACGGGTCTTTGTGAAAAAAGAGGATTTTATGCACACACATCCTCCAGAAAAAAAATTTTTTATAAGAAAAAGGAACTCAGTTGTATTTGTCCCTTGGTATCTGCAAAGGATTAGTTCCACATGGCATAAGCAATTTCCCCTCTCTCCCCCAGTACCAAATAACATAAGTTCCTATTAAAATGGTGTAGGACATCCCATCAAGCACCACGCAACAGAGTATTTTTCCTGTCTTCCAGCTTCTGGGGAGCCCACGGATCCATCTTCAAGCAGCTTCCACAGGGACAAGGCAATTAATTGGAGGCAGAATTCCTGCTCTACTGTTCAACAACAAAGGAGTTCTGCCTTCAATTATGTCTCAGTGGAAGCTGCTTCCCATCTATTTCTATCTGCAGTGGACTGAATCCACAAGTTGTAAATCTGCAGATATGATGGGCCCACAGTATTATTGTGGGTTACCACCAAAGGCTACCAGCCATCAAAACATGGAAAGCTATGACTTCAATCTCCTACCATAGCTTGCATGCTCTTTTCCTGTTGGCTGCATCAAGGTTAGCAACGAAGTGGGAATGTCGCCCTGATACAAATTTAGATGCACGTTTCTGAAGAACAAGACATACTGCTCTTCCACATAACACTGCAGGTTTGGGTCTAAAGTGACTACCAAGTCTAAAAATGCTTTTGGCAAGATGTCACATTAAGTGATTTTAATTACCTTAAGAATATGCTTTTTCTCTCCTCCCAAAGTAAAATTGTGTATTTGTTGCATAAATGGTTGTGAAATTCCCAATAGCTAACAATGCAGGCTCAAGAGTGTGTATACATATATACACGTAGATGCTATTGTGATATTGCCACATGGATAACAAGCTGAGTCGATTCTGGTGTCTCTGCTGAAAACGTGTAAGAATGGTATGATTGGCAGCTAGGTTCTTACTACATTGTGACTAAGCACCTTTTCTGAGCAGTATAAATATTACCAGTGGCTTTCTTCATTTCTCAGTAAGAGGAAGTACTGTACTGTCTATGGATTGCGACTGCTTCCATGGAGCCCAAGAGGGAGTTATGTGTATATATTCAAAATGATGTTTTTTTACTCTATTAAAACTCACTTTTAACACATTTATGCTTTGTGTAAATTCATTATTCTTGAACAATGTTATGAAACATGGATAATTCCCTAACGAAATTTTCTTCCTGATTGGAAATGTGTTTTTTTTATTGTTGTTTATTTGTTCAGTCGCTTCCAACTCTTCGCCATGCCAGAGCTTTCTGTCAGTAGTCACTACCCCCAGCTCTTTGAAGGTCAAGACAGTCCCTTCAAAGATACCATCCATTTCCCCAGTATCATTATCTTCTCCAGGCTTGTCTTCTCATTATGTGGTCAAAGTACTTCATCTTTGGCTCTAATATTCTTCCCTCCAGTGAGCAGCCGGGCATTATTTCCTGGAGTATGGACTGGTTTGAACTCGCGGTCCAAGGCACTCTCAGAATTTTCCTCCAACACCAGTTCAAAATTATCTATCTTCCTTCGTTCAACCTTCCTTATGGTGTAGCTCTCACATCCATAGGTTACTACAGGGAATACCACTGCTTTAACTATGCGGATCTTCGTTGCCAGTGTGATGTCTCTACTCTTCACTTTTTTTTACATGCGATAACAGCAAGTAGTGTCTTGCATATTTCATCTTCATTTTATAATAGAGAGTAGTAGAAACAACATGTTTTAATTGAGAAATACCAAAGAGGCATCTGACACAGATTAGGCAAGACATAATTCATGTCTGAAACATTATGTCTATGACTTTTCAGTGCTTAGCTTTTGATATGCCTACATTTTACAAATCCATATTGCAAATGAGAGTATTGTGCCATTGTTCACTCTTTTGAAATACATACAACTGTCACAGATGTAGTGAAAGAAGGAAAAATTCCTTCGTAAAATGATCAATGTCTATGACTAGCGCCTATTTTTCTCTGAGAATTTGAAAGGCAGCAATCCAGCAACACAAAGGATTTCAGTATTGTCGAGAAAGAGCAAAGAATTTTCAGGGTCCATTCACTGAACAGTTCCGTTAACAAGGCAACCAAATGGAGCTTTCTCAGAAATATTTTACATCTATTTCCTTTGGCACTGGTCATGGCTGCAGTTCATCTTAACTCTTGGCAAATGGACATTTCAGAGCACTGTTTTTAAAATGGAACTGCTGACATCTTGTGTTACGATGTACTGTGAAGCATTTGATCTTTTTTGCTGGCGTCACAGAAGAATTTGAGCTTCCTGGGTAACAACTTCACCTCCAATGGCATTGCTTCATACTCTTCACTGTCTATAGATAATGAGCCTTCTGAATCCTGCAGAGAAACCAGAGTTTACAACAAATGGTTACATAGGAAAGACAAGCAGATGTGCTACACACAATTGTGCCTATATGATTTAGGAAGAGAAACATCTAGTCATACAAAGAGCACTTTCTTCCTGCCCCCCCCTCCCCCCGACTACTCTGGTTCATTGGTCACTCTCCACTGAAAAGGCTTCCACATGCCATAAGACACCATGTAGTTGATATCTAAAGAGCAGAACTGATATAATTTCATGTTTAGCTTTGCGCTCTTCTCTGTGCAGAACCGAATTCATATTCCTGGCTTATGAGAGCTGTAGCTGTTGATGCAGGTATACCATTATTATCTTCCAAATTGGATCATCAAAACTTTGAAGCCCTATCCAATCTGGCCAAACAATAAGAAATGTGGAAACTGTGATACCAAACACTGCCCCTGACTTTAGCAATCCCTGAGATTATACATTTACTCTCTGTCCAATGAAGGAACGTTGCCTAACACTATTGCAGTAGGAGGCACTGGGGATACCACGGAGCCAGAAGTATCTTTAAACAGTATGCAGGTGGCATATTACGTTGGCGCAGTTAGTACATAACATCTTTCCATACTTCTAACATCCACAAATGTCAAAGAATAAAATTATAATTTAATCTAGAAAAAGATCCACTAATATAAAAATTCACCAGTACTTAAACAATCATTTCTAGCTCTTTCAAGCCTTCTTTGTTGAGTTCTATATGAGCACCTGACAGTTATGGATAAGAATTTTATTGGTTTTATTGCTGCATATTTTTACCATGATCTTATCTTAATGTTGTTTACAAATTTTAACTGTTGGAATTTGTATGTTTTATGTTGTAATACTACTACTACTACTACTACTAATTATTATTATTATTATTATTATTATTATTATTATTATTATTATTATTTGTGCCCTGCTTTTCTCCCTCACGGGACCCAAAGCAACTTACAAACATCTTAAAATCATACAAACAACAGAACGATTACATCAATAATAAATATAAATAACATAAAATAAGCAATTTAGAAACCAAACCAGCTTGTAAGCCACCTGGAGTTCGCAATGCGGAGAAAAGTGAAGTAGGAATACGCTAAATAAATAAATTTCCTAGAGTTAAATCAGTGTTTGTTAATTTAGAAAGAAAAACTAAGATATACAAAATCCTTGCTAACTTTAAAAGCAAGTTTCTTTAGGGTTAGCAATGACAATATGATGCTGTCACCTCTGCCATATTTTAGGCCTTACTGCTTCCCAGCGCTCTCCAAAATCATTTTTTAGAAAGAAATGAGGTGTTTGTCAAATATGTCTCATGACCCCTAAAGGTCATGTAGTAGAACGCCAAATTTTCAAAGCTTGTGTTTGTGTTCTTTTTTAAAACACAATACAACTGGTTTTATTGTTGTAATGCAGAAACTGATAGTTAATTGTTTAATTGCTGCTATATTGTTTTTATTCTACTGTTATGTTGATGCCGGTATCGAATTGTGCCTTTGTAAGCCGCCCTGAGTCCCCTTCGGGGTGAGAAGGGCGGAGTAGAAGTAACCGAAATAAATAATAAATAAATAACTGGTTCACTCCTGACACGAGAAATAAATAAATAAATAAATAAATAAATAAATAAATAAATAAATGACCCCTAAAAGCAAGGGAAGACACTTTCATTTTGTTTAATGGCTCTTTGCTAATGGTCTTTTTTCTTAGTATTAGACAGCTCCAGAAATTTCTGTGTAAAGGGTAAGCCCTAAAATAGACCAACTCTGTCAGTGGCTGAAATGCATTAAACGACCATCTATGAACACATGGAGATTTCATTTGACTTTACATCTCTGCTCATCAGGTCTCTCATTTCAAATAAGGTAGCCATCCTTTTTAAGACAGCAGGAATAGCACCCTACGCGGCATACATATATCTCCTCTTAAAAAGAAAAGGAAACAGCTAGGCTTTCCCATTTTATTTCTCACCTCTGGAAGTTGCAAGATGCATCGACTAGCCTGAAGAAACTGGCTTCCTTCTGGACACATGTGGGGCTCCTCCATCTTTTGACTTCTGTTCAAAACAGAGGGATACAGAAAGAATTGAAGGCTTTGTTTAAATATGCAAGAGCAAAGGGGTTATTTAGAGTGGTGTTTCTTTGCAATTCTTAAAGAGGAAAACTGGTCATGAGTGGTCAAAACAACTTCCTGCTCCAGGGATGCCTGGTAGAGAAAACGTGTGTGGTTAAAGTTTTCTATGCAATTCCTCTGTGGTCCAGCTAAACCAGCCGCATATGGATTGCCTATAGGTATTCCAAACACTGAGTTCAGTGCAGTTATAGCAAAACATTTCTGAACAACTCTGATCAGCCAAGTTTCAAATCAACAGTGGCACAAGATGAACAGCAAACATGGAGAGAAAAAGCTTGAAGTTGCCCGTGTCACATCTGAAGCCACTGTACCATCCTATTTATATAATCACTGTGGACTCAGCTACAGAATTGCTTTACCAGATCAACACGTGGGCAACGAGGACATTGATGTGAGGGAAGATGCTGAAATAAATTTAATGTGTTCTCATGGATCTTTTATGAAGGCAAGACAAAATGTTCAAAGCAACATAAATCTATGTCTACGGCATCTAAGTCTACGGCATATTATCCTTTCAGGTTTTCATTGCATCTTACGTTTTGCTCCCTATTTTGAAATCGAAATCAGTAAAGAACAGTAACTGAATGTTTTCAATAAATATGCATAACAACAAGTCTAAATGAGAGTTCTAAAATGTAGGTTAATGTAGAAATAAATCCCATGACCAATTGAAAATCGATGCAATTCAGTTTTATATTTGGATACTGAAATGCCCTCCCTTCTCTTCTGTATTAAAAACAGCAACAGTAACACAACCGAAGATAAAGGTTCATATCTTGGCTGCCTTTTTGATCATAATATTGTAATACAATATAATACTAAGAAAAATAAATATAATAATATAATAATTATATATTATATATTAATGCAATATTACTAATAATATTGCAGTATAGTGGTATAGTACAATATAGCAATATATAATACTAATATTGTGCTATGCTAATATAATATATTGTATGTACATATAACTTGTAAGTCGCTCTGAGTCCTCTTCGAGGTGAGAAGGGCGGGAAATAAATGTCATCAATAAACAAATAAATAAATAATCTGCTTTACACTGCAGAGGATTAGAAAAGACAAGAAAACATTTTGTTTTGATAGTACTGAAGATTTTGGCTTGATTCCCTGGCTGTACTTTGGACATACCATGAGAAGCCATGACTCATGCTAGGATAATAATATTATTTGGAAAGGTAGATAGCAATAAGGAACATTTAACAGAGAATGGTCTTATACCTTGAGTTTTTAAAACAACGTTATACACACACAGGAATACAAACAGGTTATTTTGAACCTTTTGAATCTTCTTTCCACACCAGCACTCTAATCACTATAGAGGCCTACTATATTTCTTCTCCTTCTCCCTGAAGGCTTTAACTATATTCCTCAAAGAGGTATCTTTCATATAACAGTTCCCAAAACTCTTCCTTCCCCTTAAAAACTCGTAACTAATTTCCAACACCAAACTCCCAACTGAACTAAACTATGGCTGCCTTTGCGCCTTCCTTTCCCTCTGGCTCCTCCCATCTCCTGTTGCTAAGCAATTCTCTCCAATTTCATCAGCCAATCAGACTGGACTTCCAGCTATGAGGCTATCTGATTGCTCCACCTCCCTGCTCCCCTTAGCTTTTGCAAGCCAGGCCTGTCCACTGCCTTTACACCAACCCTGCAAGGTAGGCCAATCCGTTACAAGCACAAACTCCCAGAGTTGGACACAACTGGACTTTACCTATGTTCTAAAATGTGTTTCAAACAGTTTCAAATTAATGCTTATTTAAGATTTCCAAACTTCTTTATTTGGGTTTAGCTGTACTTTGCTTCAACCTTTGTTATAAGTGACCTGGAGTGCTGTGCTCAGAGATGTCAGTGGCATAAGGCTTCATAGAGTCCAAGTCTTTCTACGGCTCACAGCAAAACACAGTTTATTAGAGCCACTGGGATTTTGGGAACGGGATGGCGAACTTGAATGGATAATGCATACGTTTCCTGCAAATTTGAAGGGAAGATGATTTTTTTTGGCATTCCTTAGCATTCACTTGCGCACACAGTGGCCTTGTAATCCCTGTCCATTTCTATACTTAATCTTCTCACCAGAGTTTGGCATAGAAGCTTTCTTTCTACTTACTTGCTCTTCCTTTTATCTGTAGGAAGCTTGAGCTGGAAATAACTGGATTCTTTAAAAAGTTTTTAAAATACAAAGCTAATATTGCAGCTAGAGGTTGTGCTATTCAATAGTCTCGGCACTGCAGGCTCACATGAGGCATGAAGAATCCAATGCACTCATTACATCTATCCCAGCAGCAGATGCAGAACATCTGGACCCATCAGCAAAAGTCTTCGAGTTACATCAGATTTACAGTATTTTTGGAGACTGCAGTGAACATCTGATACCCCATGGTACTCTACTTCTCTTTTTCTAACTGTCAGTTGTATTCATTTATTTACTTGCTAATTATATTTGCCAATGTCCTTTCAGCCATAATAGCTCCCAAGGCAGTTTGCAATCAAAAAACCCCAGGTGGTTGCTTGTGTGGTTCGGCAGACACATAAGCTATAAAATAGGGGATGGCAACTGCCAGAAGCTAAGGGGACGTATTTCTTGCCAGCCTTTCAGACAATTTCATTGTACTGAAAGTGGAGGAGGCAACAAGGGATTGAAATACTTTTGGATTTGATCCTAATCAACTGAAATGAACTGGCCAATGGGGTGGAAAATAAATAATGGAATATGTTATACAGAGAAAAGGGTGATCATGTCCTCTTGGGATTTGTTATATACAGAGGAATGAGAAAACCAAACACAGACAGGCGCTTTTGACTTAAAGTTCACTTTGAACTTAAAGAAAGCTGATTTTATTGAGTTTAGTGAAAGAGTGGATGAAATCCCATGGTTGGAAATACTCAAAAGGGAAGGGAGTTCACAATGCATGGGGGCTCATTTAAGGTGAAATAATGAAAGCAAATAATTCCAATCTAATGCAGAAGGCTTTCATGGCTGGAATCACTGGGTTGCTGTATGGCCATGTTCCAGAAGCATTCTCTCCTGACGTTTTACCGACATCTATGACAGGCATCCTCAGAGGTTGTGAGGTCTGTTGGAAACTAGGAAAGTGGGATTTATATATCTGTGGAATGTCCAGGGTGGAAGAAAGAACTCTTGTTTATTTGAGGCAAGTATGAATGTTGCACTTGGCCATCTTAATTAGCACTGAATGGCCTTGCAGTTTCAAAGCCTGGCTCTTCCTGCCTGTTCATGAAAATGAACAAAATCTAGCTAGCAGTATTAAAAAAAAACCTTTAAAATCAGGACAGTAAACAAACAACACTACTAAGAAAACAGGGGAATTCCTGAAACAATCAGGGCCAGCTAACACCTCCCAACAAAGGATCCTCCCAGGCAGGAAGCAGCCAGACTCTGAAGCTGCAAGGCCATTCAATGCTAATCAAGGTTGCCAATTGCAACATTCAGACTTGCCTCAATCAGACAAGAGTTCTTTCTCCCACCCTGGACATTCCAGATATATAAATAAACCCCACTTTCCTAGTTTCCAATAGACCTCACAACTTCTGAGGATGCCTGCCATAGATGTGGGTAAAACATCAGGAGAGAATGCTTCTGGAGCATGGCATACAGCCCGGAAAACTCACAACAACCCAATTCCAATTTGGATTTTAGAATGACAGAGAAATTTAGGCCCCTTCCACACTGTCCTATATTCTAGGATCTGATCCCAAATTATCTGATCCCAGATTATCTGGTAGTGTAGACTCATATAGCAGTGTGAAGCGGATAATCTGGGATCAGATCCTAGGATATAAGGCAGTGTAGATCCAGCCTTAAGAGTCTAGTTTAGTCATTTACTTTCCTTCTTATTAAAAGCTACCTATCAACAAAAATAAACAAGTAAGCAAACAACATTTTACAGGCTGTCAAGGACTCACCCTCTTTTTATGTAGTCTCCCTTGCTGACTGTATCTGGTTCAATGCAAATATTCATGAAGTCCTCTGTATGCTAAAAAATATGTTTAGGGAAAAGACACAACAATACTAAAATGCATAGCACATTATAAATATTCCTTTAACAGATGAGTAAGGTCATATGCCTCTATTTAAAATATGAAAATATTTAATTTAATTTAAATTTAAAACATTATGAAGAATTTCTTAACACCAAGAATTGTCCAGCAGTGGAATATGCTTCCTGGGAGCATGGTGGAAGCTATTTCTCTAAGGGTTTTTAAACAAAGGAAAGAACTATAAAATTTTAAACATCTGTTGGAAAGCACTATGCAGTTCTTTTCCCAGAGAAAGAGAAGGAAAAAGTGTGTGGGACACTGAAGGCCAACTCCTTCCCCACTGGAAATCTTACTCAGACTGATTTTACAGATTCATCAGACATTCTCCACACTTGTTCAAGATTATCTCATTAAAACCCCAAATTACTAACAATTTTTCTCCCCCGTCTCCTTCCACCAGATTCTGCTCTGAAATACACATCTTTTAAAGCATATGGAAATGCGACAGACACATATAGTCTTGGGTGTCCATACTGTATAGGGGCATGTGCAATGTTAAACGCCCCAATTAAAAGATGTACAGTAAGCAGACCCCCCCCCCCAATTTGTGAATTTTAAAAGACAACACATACATACATCCCTTATGTTAGCAATAGTTCATTATTTCTAATTTCAACCCAATGCATAAAACCTAACTTACTTAAAGCAGGTATATATTTTTTACTTGCAAAGCAGTAACATAATGAAATAGGAAGGTAGGTTTAGGATTTTTTAGTGTCTATATTCTTACTTTCAAGTCAAGATGTCTGTTCTGAGTAGTGACAGAGAATTCAATGGCTGACAGCTGCATTTCTTGCCAGAGCTCTGGTGTCACCTCTTTGGCGGTTTCTGAGAACAGAAAGTCACGATATCATTAAGATGAATGGGACACAGGATGGCATTGTGCATGACTAGCAAAGGCTGAGATTGCTTTTTTCTTCCAAGTTACTTTGTACGGCTTCCACCAACCCACATTATATACTTATAACTGAAAAGTAACTATAGCAGCTGAGATGAGGAAGCTAAATCCACGAAGCATGAGAGGAGTAAAGTATATGAATTCTAAAGGTATCTCTAAAGGTTATGCTACCTGGACTTAATGGGAAGGAAGTGCTCTTCTAACAGATACTATTTTTAAAAATGTAACTTTTTGTTGCTTACCTGTGGGGGCAGGTGCCCAGTAATGTGACAGCCTCTTGTAAATCCTGGCATATAAAGGAGGTCTAGAAGTCTTCTTCTCAGGCTCCTCGGGGGGTCTTGGAGTTGGACCCAAGTAAGAAAGGGAGGCGAGATGTTTCTGAGGCCACTCCTTGGAATTGGAAAAGAAAGAAAGCAAAATGTCCAGTTTGACAGGGTTTTGTGACAATACAGACCTGAGACCCCGGTGGCCACTACACAACTTCAAAACACAAAGGGGGACTTTGCAGAAGAGAGGCCACAGACAATGGATGAGCAACGTAACAGTTCTGCTGCCAGATGCTTCTCCCCACAACTATTCTACTTTCCCCTCTGTGATAAAGCAAACAAGTATCTTTTCCAGATGACTCAAAAACATCCAGAAGATAGGAGGAGAAAAGCAATGAGTAAAGTAGGGGAAAGGACCTTCCTACTGCATGGAAAGTTTCTTTTCTTGTATGTTCCCCAAAAAGGGTAATGGTCGCCTCTGCAGACATTTCTGGCAATAAATGGGATCCTTATGGTTGCAATTTATAGGAATTTAGCGGCCTTTTCCAGTACAGAAGGAATTAAACTGACTATTTCATCTATCCTGACAGCAATTGCCCTTATGTAAATTTCCTGAAGGGACAATTTTCCACCTTTCCACAAATTTGATGAGTGTATGGGAATTTGGGGAACAATCAGGGAACACAAGAAAGGGCTGGAGTTTCATACAGCCTGCTGTATACCTACACCTGTCAACCATCATTACCATGCAAGAAGCATAAACAGACTCTAAACACAGAGGCATCCACCTCCACAAACAAATGCAGATCTTGCTCAGCAAAAGTTACTGAGAAGGTCACCTGACTCCCCAAGGCCATCTCTCTGCAGCAATGCCACAAGAAGGAAGGGAATCCTTCAGAGGAAGGTCAAGTAATAAAAACTAATCATCTCTCAACCAGCCACATATAACTGTCCCATGGAGCTCAACGGTACAGAACACTGCAAAGAAATTGCTTAGCAGCAGTGTCATACAGTATAGAGCTCTGAATAACAAACAGCCACCATAATAAACAGAGACATAATAAGCAAATTACTATTCTGTTTCATAACATATTAACACTCTAGATTTGTTAGAATACAGTAGAAGGGAGCTACTTTCCACAACACAGCAACTGCACTCAGATTGGCGATTCCAAATTAGTTGGTCTAAATTGGGATTAGCAGCTGCAAAGGTTCAGAGACCATTTCCTCTCGCTCCCAGGATACCCATAGGCCATAACAGTTCTGCCTCAGGAACCTAAACCTTGCAATATATTTGTTACATGAAGCAGCAGCATGTTCTGAGCTTACTATCTGCTAAGGAATCAGGAGAACAGCGGGCGCAGAGGGAGAAAATGCAGCTCCTTTAATGTATGTCAAATCCTTCGGTACTTGAAAACTTTCAGACTACAGCAATTAACCTTTCTGCTCATTTTGTGACAGAAGGTAGGCAGACTGCAAGAGGCAGATTATCAACAGTCCTATAGGCTCTATTTATAGGCACCATTTACGTCAATTGAATAAATCTCAGGGTGAATCATTAGCATAACAAAAACCATGAGAGGCCTGCGCTAGAGGAAGCCAGCCGAGTAGCCTCTAATGGGTCTCAGCTGCATCACGGCTGCTCTGATAATATTCTCCAGCTAGCAATTTCTAGCACTGCACTGCAATATTATTTCAGCTACATTCTAGGATCCTACTTAACGTAAGTCCTGGGCCTCTGCCAGAAGTAAATATATACAGCGCAGTGGTAGTCTCACATCCTCCCTACAGTGAAACCCGGCTCTGAATATGTTAAAAAAAGATGTAACAGCAAGAAGAATATTTCAGCCTGAGGGTGAAATTGAACTTCAGCGGGGTTATCCAGAGCCGTGCTACAGTGGTGTCTGAAGCCAAAGGCAATAGTATAGAACAAATAATATTTTAATTTGTTTTTAATTTATAGCCCACCTTTCTTCCATAGGATACTTAAGGTGGTCTATGATACAAAACTAAATATAGTGAAACTAATGAATAATACAAATGTTTAAAGAGGGGTTTTTTTAAAAAAAAATCTAATAAAGCATTTAATTTCAGCTATTTAAAAAGCAGTTAAAACATAGTAATAGCAGCACAGCTCAATTAAAAGACTTTCTGCAGTGGCTAATTAACCGTCAGAGATTTGGAAAAGAAGGGAACCCAAACTATTTCCCCTGACAGTGAATTCCATAGTCTCAGGCAGTTGCTAAGAACCCGTAAGAGAAAGCTTTCCTTTGGGACCTTAAAACATGGGCAGGTTCATATTGGGAGATACGGTCTATCAGGCTGACTGGGCCTTAGCTATGTAGGGTTTTAAAGCGCTATAGATTTGAATTGTGCATAGAAATGAACCAGCATTAAATTATTTCAACATGCGAATTATATGTTCCCTATAAGCAGTCTAGAGCAGCAGTCTGGTTACAAAACTTTGGACTCAGCACAGTTTCTAAACAGTTCCATTATTCAAAATAGGATGCTAGAAAACCCAGCTCTGAATATGTTAAAAGAAAACCATCATAATGACGGCATGGAGAGAGGCTTTCCAGGGAATGCCAGGAGTTTCAGAGTATGAGGTCTTCCCATCCCTTCTAAACTGCCCTAAATATGCTACATAGACATTCAATGCTGTTTTAGCTTGAGTTTGACTGTGGCTACTTTAAACACAGGCCACTGCAAACATATTCCTCAAGACATCCTACTCTCTGAAGATGTTGGCAGAGCACTGAACTTGGGCCTTATGCTTGGAAAATATAGCCAACAAGGTTATATTTCATATTCAAGAGGACACAAATTACGCTAACACAACTACATTGTGTAACTTATGCTGTAGTTCCTCTTTACCTTTAATGTATTAAAGAAATGAGCTGCTTGGATTTTCAGAGGTCCAAGATACCAGTACCTGGAAAAGAATGCAAGCAAAACACAAAATGTAATGGGACGTAGAAAATAAAAAGTAACTGTCTCAACTTTAGCTTCTATCCACAGGTTAGAATCTAACCTGTGGACAGGAAAAATATGGTCCACAATGATTAGTTTTTCATCTTAGATTTTCACTGTGTTTCTCCATGAATTCTGGTTTGTTGAGTTCTCTAGGAACCACAGTGTACCATCACAACTTTGAATCTAGTCCCTTATTTGTCTTTTTCATAACACCTTTAAATCTTTTTTTTAAATCTCTTACTACTCCTGAGTTATAGGAGCAAGTGACGCAAGTTGATTACTTACCACTGCAGAAGCTGGCCCTACAAAGTGCACTAATGAAATCTCTTTCTAAAGCTTCCTCTTGACCCTCTCTGGTCTCTCCCCCTTTTCTGGGAGTGAGGAGGCAATATGCAGCCTCTTTTTAAGTCTTTGATGATACTCCTGCTGCCAGACCAGTGATTCCTATCATTCCATCCCCATTAGCAAAATTAAACAGCTTTTTTGCCCTTTCTGTCAGAGAGGAAAAGATATTCCGATCTGAGATCTAAAATGCAGAATAATCTGGAATCATCCTATGACAGAGATATCAAAGCTGCTACTACGTTTTGGGGAAATTAAAGGTTAGTTGATTTTTTTTTTGTTGCGTGCTGGAGTACTGAACCAATGCTGTCCCCCCAGCACCCCAAAAAGAAAGCATGGTCTTGTTTTAGTGCCTTGAGAATGATACATATTCTTTCAGCCAGATCCTTCCAGGCATTGGAAAGCAATGTGTTCTCACATGATCAGAGTTACTAAACATAAGACATTGTTCAGCATACTGGAAAAATAACACAGTGAGAAGCAAAAGACAGAAGGACAAGAGATCATAAAATACTGCTATTCCTTTACTTGCTGACTTTTGCTCCCGCATCTCTGTAAGATCCCCATCGTAAACCAGTTACTGCAAATACAGGCTGGTCTTTGTTTCCCTGCAAAACAAAATGCTGTTATACAAAAGCAGCCACGTTTTTATATTGCATTGATCTGTCATCATTTCAGCTATAATAGATGATAGATAAGGTATGGGTAAACTTCAGCCCTCCTGGTGTTTTGGACTTCAACTCCCACAATTCCAGTTGTTAGGAATTGTGGGTGTTGAAGTCCAAAACACCCGGAGGGCCGAAGTTTGCCTATGCCTGTGATAGATAGCTATTTTACATCGTATGCTACCTTTCTCTCATACCCCAATTCTATATTAAAAATACAATTTAAAACACTTTAAAAACATATTTAAAACATAATAAAATACAAACAAAGCACACTCCATTAAAAGCTTCAGTTGCTGCAAGAAAGTAAAAACATGAGGCCTGCCTAAATAAAGAAGTCTATGCCTTTTGGCACAAAGACATCAAAATGTGTGGGTGTAATAAGATGAGCGACACCCCGGGCAGGGGGGGAAGACAAGCAATCCCACCACTGCCACCAGTATAAAGGAGATCAACGTAATCTAGGCAGGGGGGAATACAATCCCACCACTACCCTACAGTGTGAAGATGTTAACGTTCAGCTGGACACTACTTTAACAAGGATAAAATGGCTGTGACAAAGGGGGAAAGACTCTCTTATCCCACCTCAGTATTACTATTAAGTGACCAACTGTATTAACGTTGTTAATGACCGATGTATTAGGTAGATTCACTGCCACCACCTCAATTAATGTCTGAGGAAAACATAAGCGTGAATGTGAAATTGGTAAAATATCTTCAAGCCCTTAGTTCTTCTTTAACAACTGCTTCTTTTGCTGACTGGACTGAAATCAAGTTGTATTTAGGCTAGCTGTTATCTAATTAGTGTGACAGACCGAGGCAGACACCAATTTAAAGATGAAAAAGAAACAGGTTTATTCAAAACTTGATGAACAAATCAACTCTTAATAAGAGTGGTACAAAAGCTTAATGCGTTTCAGAGGCTCAGCTGGTTTAGACAAGCAGTCTTTCTTAAAGACTTTAACTTTTTTCCCTGTGAGTTCCTTGCCTCACACTGGCCACTACACTGACACAGTGTGTCCTTGAGAACAGCCCATTGACTGCCTCCCAGAGCAAAATATGCTTTCCTTCACTGACCCTTCTCTGTACAGTGAACCAGGAACCTTTGCCTTCCCTATGCTCTAACTACAAGGCTCACTTCAAAAGTTTTCCCTGTCTAAATTCTTCACAGCTCCCTCTTCCTAAAATACTTCTTCACTCTACGATGTTTAAAGCTCTTCTTCCCAGCTTGTCAAATAAGACAGCCTTTTCCCTCTAAAACCTAACTCCTCCTCTGACTGCTCTGGCCAATCAGGAGTCGGCTGGCTCCTCCCTCTTGCCTCTTAGCTCTCCTGCCTCTCTCAACATGTCAGCTACTGACTTTCCAGGCCTCGACCTTCCTGGCAAAAGGTTAGATTCATGACAGTGGGCAACTCCATTAGGCAAAAATTACAAATGATTATTTCCATTAGTGCAGGAATAGAAAGTGGGTGGCCCTCCACAAGTTGAAGGACTGCAAATCCTATCAGTTTCACCACTGTGGGCTGAGCTTAGTGGTACAGCATTACAGTAATTTTTTTATGCAGAGGGTCCCAAGATCAACCCTGACATATCCAGGTATTTTATTTCATTTATATCCTGCCTTTTTCTGAATATGTTCCACAACCCAGCTTCCAGATAATACAAAATACAACTAAAACAGTATATAATACACAAATAAAAACGAGCCAATTGCTTTAAAAATATGTTTCAAATATAAAAATCTGGAAGACCTATTCTGCACAACCAATGAACCAAGGAAGAATTAATATCATTTTTGATCTGATTAGAAACTAACCAAAATACCATTTTACGTAATTATTTCAGCACCAGCTTTAAGCTAATCATTAACACAGCATTGTGACCAATTTTTAGACCTCTGAATGACCATATTCCTATTTTATACTAAACCCAAATAAGAGGGTCAGCTGTTGGTTTGTTTTTTAAAAATAGTATTTAAAACTTGTCTAACTTTAAAATTAAAAATAAAAGTCCATTGTGATGGGTGCTGGGATGGAGGGAATGTTTGTCTACTGTGTTTGTTACTGTCTCTGTATGTTGTGTGCTCTGTTGGTAAATATTTATCACTGTTTTTCCTTTTTGAAATAATAAAATGTATTAAAATAAAAATAATTAAGCATTAAAAAAAATAAAAATTAACACATCTCTCCCTGATGGTATAGTAAGTGGAAAGAGGTGTGCAAATTCTATAGTCTGGGAGCAATCACCAAGAAGGCTCTCTCCTGTTTCCCCGATAAGTGCAGTTGGGACAGAAAGCAAGCCCTCTCCTGAGTAACTTGTAATTTAGTCAGGGTCATCTAGGAAGATACCATTGTTCAGACAGCTTGGATCCAAGCTACATAGGATTTATAGATCGTAATCAGCACTTTTATTGCTGTCCAGAAATGTAATGGTAGCCAGTGGAGCTGCTTCCACAAATGAGTTAAATGTTCCTAGGACAAAACAGGACAAGGAAAAATTCCTGTCTGAAATCCTAGACAGCTACTTGTAGTCAGTCAACAATATGAGGCTAGAAGGACCAATGGCTTGATCCACTATAAGGTTGGTTCTTATGCTCCAATGCTCTGTGTTCCTCTTAGGTTTGTTTGGCCAAGTGATATATTGTTATTTGAATACCCAAAGACCAAAGCAAAGAGTGACATTCAGCATCCTTGACTTTTACATTGCTGCTGAAATAAAAAACCATTTTTAAAGGAGCAGTCTTTTCTTCCTTTTCCTAGCCGTTTTCACTGTAAAAACAGTTGAGCCACGGAGACTTGAGATGTTTACACACAATGTCTTGGTGAGAGATGATCTGCTACATTTTGGAACAATGGGCTGAGGGAAAGACAGAAGCAGCTGTACTCTTAAGACAGCAAAGCAATATATGAACAGAGGGAAAGGCATATAGTAAAGGCAGATCATCGCCAAATGATCTGTTGCGTGAATGTAACCTCCATTTTATATTACACCTGCTTTCAATGACAGCACATATTATTTCACTATTGGAGGCTTTCAGAAAGAGCAATTAAATATTTCTAAAGAGGAGAGTCCTATAAAAACAGTCTTAAGGATCAGTTCACTTCTCATGAACTGAACTGATGCAGTTAAACAATAACAAAGATAGGTAGCCACACAAATTTCCAGAAAAAAAAAAAGAATGATTACTAAAATGCAAGTACCTTGATCTGCAATACATCAACAGGAATAGTCTCTCCTCTCAATATAGACAAGGTAGCATCCGTGATACATCTGTAGGAATAAAATTAAAGTACCACATAAGTCAGCGGAAGAGCACAATGTTTGCATGCAGGATCCCAATGTTCAAGCTCCAGTAAAGTAAGGGTAAAGGTTTCCCCTGAAATTAAGCCTAGTTGTGTCCAACTCTGGGGGTGGTGCTCATCTCCATTTCTAAGATGAAGAGCCGGTTGTTCATAAACACCTCCATGGTCATCTGGCCAGCATGACTGCATGGAACACCTTTACCTTCCCACAGAAGCGGTACCTATTGATCTACTCACATTTCCATGTTTTCGAACTGCTAAGTTGGCAGAAGCTGGGCCTAACAGCAGGAGCTCACCCCGCTCCCCGGATTTGAACTGCCAACTTTCTGGTCCGCAAGTTCAGCAAGGTTTTCTGTATTATTCTCCTCAATGAATACAGACAACCAGGGGGTCCTCAAGCTGGAGTATTTCCAGTCAAAACTCAACGGTAGAGCTTGAGGAAAAACATTCAAGGGTTTTAGAGAACTGCTAGTCAGTTAACAGAATGAGACTGAATTATCATTAGTCACTCCCAAGATGACATCCTTCCATTGTATTGTAATACAGCTCCTATTATTCTCCTCAATGAATACAGACAAGAGAGTGATGAAGTTGTAGCCCAACACCTTTGGAAGATGCTAAATTGGGGGAAGTTGGTAGCAGTGGTTCTCAACCTGGGGTCCCCAGATGTTTTTGGCCTTCAACTCCCAGAAATCCTAACAGCTGGTAAACTGGCTGGGATTTATGGGAGTTGTAGGCCAAAAACATCTGGGGACCCCAGGTTGAGAACCACTGGTATAAGGCAACTTATTTATATGCTTATTAATTAGTATTTTATTTCATCTAAGAAGTTCAAGGAGGCCCATCACTCCATCTAACAACCCTATCAGATAGATTAGATGAAAATAATGTGATTGGCTGAAGGTCATTCACAGAGCTTAATCCTTATTCTCTGATTTTTCTCCCAGGATTAGAAGCAAGCACCCCCATCATCCTCTTCTTCTTAATATTTGAAAATGAACACTTACTGGACTTGGTTTACACACTCAGGATAAAGAGTGTGACTTAAGGTGCTGGTTTTTCCAAGGGGAATAAATCCAATAGGAATCTTACTGAAAACTGCCTGGAAACAAGGGCAAAAGAAAACCACATCAGAGACAGCTGAATTCAGGGGTGTTTTTTCCCCTTCCTCCCTCTTTCTTAATGGAGCACAGCTGTGCCCAATATTATTCTCTTTCCTGCTCCACAATTTTGTCATGAAACAGCCAGCATTTCCTGAAAGAGAGGCAGCAATAAATAATGATGCAGAAAATCAGTCTCTTTGGTGAACCCTCCAAGTGACAACTGGCTACAGAGCAGCATTCTGTAGTTATTAGGCCCATTGTTACACACAGGGAGCCTGGCACCCATTCTTCAAGCAAAGTATGGATCCTGTCAGTAATCTACCATCTACTAAATGAATTGAGGTGGCATCCAAAGCATGGCTGCATTCAGACCTCATTTTATCCCCAAGTAAAGAATTTCACACTTGGAAATAATGCAGACATCTTTTGCCAAAGAGGGGAGAATTCAAAAGCATCAAGGTAACCAAAGGGTGAACGTAATTATTTTTCAATTAAATGCCAATGTTAGCTATCCAAGTTTGCACATTTATCTTTGCCTCTGCAAACTGGGAAAACAGAAGTGATTTGCTTAGTTGATTCCATTTCTAAGATGGGATTTGACAGTATAGCTGCAGCTCTGTTCTCTGAATAGATTGCTTGCTGTAAGTTGTTGGCTGGTAGTCATGATGTGCTTTGTTCTCTCGATGAGGGCACAGTTAAGGCTGCATTACTGGAATGCATGAGCACACACACACACACTGTGCTCCCTGAACTGTGCCAGTGAGTCAGTGTTAAAGACTATACAATCCTGATTCTCTGCAGAATGCTGCAGCTTGCAGCACTGTGACTCAGCAAATCCAATCCATTTTTTTCTGCATTGCTTTTGCCAATGCCTCCTTTTCTTATTAGTCCCTCCACTTTACGCCTTTCTTCGTGCCATTTTTATTTGTTGCTACTTCTTACTTTGAACAGGTAGGCTGCTATAATACAAACATACTGATTATGCCTACATTATTGACTGAAGAATAACCAGGGAGATTAGTTATACTTGAGGTTTGTGTTATGTTGTATATCAAGCTTCTGAGGTGTGGGTTTGCATCTGCAGGTTTACAAATATATGCATCCTACCTCATATAGCAGGATATTTTAAGTCACACTAGAGAGCCAGCACGGTATACTGGTGAATGTGCTTGACCATGACTCTGGAGATCAGGGTGTGAATCCCTGCTAGGTCATCACAAGTACTGAAAGCTTGGGCAAGTCATACTCTCTCAGCCTCAAAGGAAGGCCCAGGCAAACTCCCTCTGATAGATTCACCCCATGATAGATTCACCTTTGGAAATTACTTGAAAACCCACAACAACGCACTACACTAGAATGTGCCATTTTGTCATACACATTAAATCAGAGAAGAGAAAAAAACACTCAAGAGATTCATTATCATGCGACAACTCTATCTCATCAATTGATAGCCATTACCAATGAAAAAGGTACTTAAATGCAGCTTCTGAATAGGTCTGAAGACAGACAGGAAAGAATCTAGTGGGGATTAAAAATGTAGGTAATGCATAATAACAGTTGACAGTAAATAATATAGGATGCCAAGGATTTGGTGCTGAAAATGGCAATAAAAAATGACATCTCACCTCATCTGCCCTTCGGAGAAGCCCAGTTATGACCTGAAACAAGCAGAAAACAGGTTAGCTTATACTGGCAAAAAATACAAAAGGTAAGCTAACATTTGTTTGCCTCCTCTCTCAAAGCAAAGACACATCATTTTTGCTCTGACCTCCCCTGATGGAACTCCCCTGAGTTTCAAATGGTTTAATGTAAATCAGGCTACCAGGAACAAGAATCAGTTGTTGGATAAATCTTTGGGGGGGGGGGGGGCGGACTCAGAAATTGCATTAAATATTCCTTTCCCATTAGACATTTTAGTATCTTCCACAGGCAAGAAGTCACCCAGCCAGCTGGATGTGTGAAAAATTAAACTTACTTTTCTCCAGAAAAGAAGCTTTTCACTAAGTTATCAAAACAAATAAGACCCTAGATTCATCCATAACAGAGCGGTAATCTATTCTACTGGTCTCAGTACGCAAGACTAAAACTAGGAATAGTATAAAAACTCCAATCAAGCAATGATAAAGCTTCTTTTGAAAAGGCGTGCAATTTTACAAGTTTTGCTTTCTCTCATAAAACATACTACGAGGCTTCTAGGACGGATAAAATATGCATCCCAGGAGAAAGTCTTGGAGTTACAAAGAAGTGAGGAAAGTTATTTTTGCATAGGATAACAATATTTTTGTGGTGAAATCACTTAGAATTGTGCCCAGGAAAAAGTTAGAGTCCTTACATGGGCATTTCCTCTTTATATTACCAGCAAGAAGCTAGAAAGAAATATCTTCTTCGTTGGGCAAGGAATTAATGGCACAAGGAACCATTGAATAATATCCTTTGCTACAGTCAACTGCTCACCTCTTTCCGTCTTCTCCTCCACAAGCACAAGGGGTTCAGAAGCTTTCACTTCTATGTGGACTTAATAAAAGCTTACTATGGAATCTGGATTGACAGTTTGTCTAAAACAGGCTGCTTTGAAAAAAACATGCAACCATGTCATGCCATCCTAAATTATAATTTAGCATATTGGATTGCAGCCCTAGTACGCATCTACCCCGAAGCCTTAGGGAAATGCTATGAAGCCACAATGAAGTGAAGATTCTGTTATTTATTGCATGACAACCTCTCTTACCAATTGCAAAACGACTATCATTTAACATTAACAAAACGCACGACAGGATTAACCTTTGAAAACAGATAGTCAGAAACCAGAATGGAGGAAGTGTGCTTAAAAACTTCTTCCAAAACATCTTCCGACACAGAAATGCATTCTGCTAGTCATATAGCGCAGAGGAAATTATGATGTAAAAACAGACTGCAGTGTGGGAAAGAAGCTGGAGGGTTTGAGTGCAATGTTGGAGAATAACTCTCCATCAACCACCATGAGAGTGACAACAATTCCAAACATTGCTTGATATGCCTGAGATACTGTACTAATGACTTATAGCACCTATGTTTTGTGTGCTTGGATAACAGTACTCTTAAGGTTTGAGATTGGTTACAGAAATGTCTCCACTTTGAAGATAAATACTCACAGATGATTCCTGGAAAGATCTCTGTACTACTTTATTTCTCTACTTGTAATGTGGATTAGGTGCCAGGATGAAGGAATAAATACGAATTTTATACAGTACCTCTTGTACAGTTCCATCTCCTCCTGCAATAATGATCATGTCTGTGTTTTCCATCAGTTCAAGCAACTTCTTTGCTTGCCCTTCATAATCTGTCTGAGATACAAAAAGAGCACAGAAAAACAATGTGTTTAACTAGCGATGAGAAGGCCTGGAAAAAAAAATGCTAAAATGGGAGGACAGGACAGAAGGGACAAGTTTTTCCCATTTTTTTTCCCCAAAGCCAAAATTGAAAAGTGTGTACAGTATGTTCTTTTCCAATGATAAATAATATCTCTATGACATGGTATTCAAACTATATAACATGAAGATCTTCATGAAAGATTTCTGAGACTTTTTGTTTCCACACACTTTTTTTCTGAAGATGCCAGTCACAGATGCAGGCACAACGTCAGGAGAAAATGCTCCTAGAAAATGGCCATACAGCCCAGAAACTACACAACACTCCAGTGATTCCGGCTATGAAAGCCTTCAACTTGCTTTCCCCCCATTTTTTTTTGGGGGGGGGGGTTCTTTTTCAGGCCTTCCCATCTCTATCCAGCTATCCATAAGGAAGGGAGATCGATCCTATATGCCAGCATTCTTCAAACTGGTGGTCTCTATACTTGCTGGACTACTACTCCCAGAATACTTAGAGCTCTAATCCAACCCATTGGAGGCCACCATGCTGGAGAAGGCTGGCACAGAAACATAGAATTTGAGGAGACTACAAGGGCCACTCAGCCCAACTCCTTTCCGGTGTGGAAAAATATACATTCAAAGCACTTGACAGATTGCTATCTAGCCTCTGCTTAAAAACCTCCAGAGAAGGAGACTCCATTGTGCTCCAGGGCATCATATTCCACTGCCAAAGAGTTCTAACCATCAGGACATCTTCCTAATGTTTAGGTGGAATCTCTTTTCCTGCAGTTTGAATTCATTGCTTCATGTCGTAGACTCTAGAGTAACAAAAATCAAGCTTCCTCCCTCCTTAATACCACATCCTTTCAAATATAAATATACGACTCTTAGGTCTATACAGCAGTACGTACAATTTTATTTTTAAAATTGGCATCCTTCCCACCTCACAAGATTGCTTCAAAATTGTTTACATTTACAGCATATCATGCAGAGATATGTTTACAATATGTTCTAACACTCTGGTAAGATAAATATAGTCCATACAACTTTTAAATTAGCAACACGACTTAGCCTCAAACATATAATCACTTTTCCATCAGGATGAAGAGGCTGCAGAGATAATAGATGGCTTTTGAAAACCACACCTTTCTATTTATCCCTCTTACTATGGAAAGCTAAGAGTGCCACCTATTGAACTACAAATAGGTATTTTCTGACGCACTAGAGGGATATGCAACTATCTCCACTCCAAACACCGTGAAACAAATTACTGGTCAATTTGTGAGTATTTCATGTATAATAATTCTCCTTTGACAAATTCACAAGTTTTGAAATAAACAAGATCTACACTTCAAAGGGACACAGTTTGCCCACTCTATTGAAGGAAATGTATAAATCTTTACCACTGCCAATACATTTAGTTAGACGGTTTGGAACACAATGGCTGAAGGGAGGGGCTTTCACAAAATACAATAAAGCACAAAGCACAATAATGAAAACCTTTATTTCCAATAGATACTACAAATGTAGGATACTGGCTAATATAAAATTTTAAAACCATTTCATCCATTCAACCCTTTCCTTCCTGTCTTTCAATGTTCCTATCACTGATCTATTCCTCTGATATCTAAAGGGCCATTTATGATGCTAAGGATTGCTCTCCATTAATGTCAAATATTTTATTGCAATGTGCGGGCTCTTGAATACCACAATTCAACTTTCTTAGGTAAAACCATCAAATCCCCTACAATTGGTCCAAAGTTCTGCAGCCAGGCTACTAACTGGAGCCAGCTATAGGGAGCACACAATGCCCCTACTAAAGCAGCTCCATTGGCTGCCGCTAAGTTTCTGGTCCCAATTCAAAGAGCTAGTTAACACCTATAAAGCCCTAAACAGCTCGAGTCCTGCCTATCTTCATGACTGCATCTCCCCCCCCCCCCGCCCCCCATGAACCAACACGGGTTCTAAGATCTGCTGGGAAGGCCTTCCTTTCAGTACTGCACCGTCAGAAGCATGGTTGGTGGGGACGAGGGCTTTCTCAGTGGTGCCCCCCCCCGGCTTAGGACCTCCCTCCCCAGGGAGATTAAACAGGCCCCCATACTGTCCTCCTTTTGTAGGGACTTGAAGATGTGGCTCTTCTATCAAACCTTTGAGAATATGCAACCCCTAGTTGTCCTACGTAGTAGTCGCACATCCTGCACTTATCCCACACCCTCTCTCCATGACTGCAGCTGGCACTTATTTAATTCCAGTGTTTACAGCCCAGTCATGGTGTCAGTAATTTACTGCCACAGTTAGAGGACTGCAACTTGATTGAGTCTGAGTTGATGTTTTTATATGTGCATGTATTTTATTTTATTGTATTTTATATTGTATTTACTTTTATTTGTTTTTTAGACACTTTGTGCCATCTGTAAGTCACTCCGAGTCCCTTCGGGGAGATGGTGGCAGGATATAAGAATAAAGTTGTTGTTGTTATTATTATTATGTTACAGTGCATTGGCAATAAACATTCAAAAAAAGCTATACTGCATTTCTCATCAAGATATACCATTTCCTTTATTCAAGAAAACAAACATAAGATTTTTAAAAATGGCACCATTTTAATGTAACAAAAATAGCACTCTCCCTTCTGAGCATTTGTACTCTTCCACAATAGCTTCCTTTCAAGTCCAAGCAAATTCTAAGGAGAAAATATTCAATAGGAGGAGAAAGTGAAAATCTGTTCTTAGCCTTTACCTTCACCACAGTCACATCCATACCAGACAAGTGAAGAATTGGGGCTGCATTCTTTTCAAAAAGACTCCTGCCTTTTCTGGAAAAGAAAAAGTGACAGATCATTTCATGACAGTTGTGTTGTAAAAGTGCTTTCGAACATCAAAGTCATGTACATAATAAAAACCAGCTGTTCAGGATGTCTCTGGCAAATTCTAACCAGCACGAGAACCAAATTAAATCCATTGTCAAGGGGAATCAGTCTTATTTTATTAGCACAATGTTGGCTATTTCACAGTCATAAATTTTATATGCAGAGTGAGTCCTCAGTACACAACTTTATATGAGAAGATACCTGTGTAAGCAATGAAGCTGTTGTTCCTCATGACCAAGCAAACTGGTGAGAGTGGAAGCATGAAGAATAGAATACTTGGTAGTATTGGTCTTGTTTTATTTACTGCATTACGTTTTATTGTGTCCTTCCTTCAGGGATCTAAGGCAGCTTACATGGCTTTGCCCTTCCCCCCACAAACCTGATTTTACTGCAAGACAATTCTGTAATGTAAATGAGACAGATGCTAATTGTCCTAAAGTCATCCAGTGTGCTTATAAATGAACAGAAATTTTAATCCAGGTTTTCTTGGTTCTAGTACAATACCTAGTCCACTATCCTGCACTGATCCTCAGAGATAAAAAAAAAATCCTTTGAATAATACTAAGTGTTCCTATGAGCAATATGATGATAAATCTCTCCTCTGTTGTGATGACAAATGTAATTCATAACAAAGCTTTATCCACATTTGATAAATACCTTTAGAAAGCATCTGCAGGGAAGTTGTACAAAAATAAAATATTACTAGCAAACTGGAGTCCTGTATATGTATGTGCCTTCTCATTACCTGTCAATGTATGGTAATCATATGAATTTCACAGGGTTTTTGTAAGCAACAAATACTCAAGGGTGGTTTTGCCAGTTCCTTCCTCTAAAATATTGTCTATGGAACATAGTATCCATTGCATCCAAGTAATAAACAGGACAGACCTTGATTATTTCCAAGATTGGACAGGATCTGGTGCTTTTGGGGTATTTAAGAAATAATGTTATATCACCACACAGTATGCCTCTTTATGGTGACCCCATCTTTGCAATGACAGATTCAGTTTAGCAGCCTAAAGTGACACGACACCAACTGTGTGAGTAATGATTAACATATTTCCCACTGTTCCAATTCAGAAGTCAGTTAAATTCAGCAAGGGCTACTTCCATGTGAACATACTACAGTTAGTGCAATCCATTTTTAGCTAACTCAAGAATTTGTTCTTAACTGTCATCAAGGCTCCAAAGGCCCCTTCTACACAGCTATATAAAACTCACATTGAACTGGATTACATGGCAGTGTGGACTCAGATAATCCAGTTCAGAGCAGATACTGTAGATTACCTGCCTTGATATTCTAGGTTATATAGCTGAGTGGAAGAGCGCTAAATAAACTATTTTATTTCATTTCTTCTATCTCCCTGATGCTCAATACAATACACCTGGTAGCTCTCTATCCCTGTTCCTGTTTCATCCTCATAAACACACACTGGGGTAAAATTAAAGAGATGACAACTGACTCAAGGTCACCCAATAAGCTTCATGGCTGCATCTCTATGTAGTAATGTAAATCTTGGTTTATTTTGTTCTTGGGAGTAAGAAAAAAAAATTCAACTACTTTCAATCAGCTAGCAGAGGAAATGAGAAAAAGGGCACTTTTGATAAATGAGAAATTTGTAGAAAAACAATCCAGATGGTCTGAGTCCCTCTACGGAGGTAGAGAAGATCAGGATACAAAGTTTTAAATAAATAAATAAAATCTGCACAGAAAATGTAATAATCTGAGCAAGAAGCTTATACCCCTCCCCCACACTTTCCAATAAAAACATGGTAGAACATGTTCCTGTGAAGAAAACTACGGGTTTACTCTTCACAAAATCACATAACCAACCCACACCGTTTTGTGAACCCTTGCTGGCTGTTGTACACTAATGTGGATGTTTTGTTTAGATTTATGTTGTTATAAAATTTTGTCTGATTACGTGTAGTTTAATTTATTGACGTCAGGTTTAATTTACTAATGTTAGGTCTTAATTTGATGTTAGCCTTTAGTATTACTTTTATATGTGGGGGTTTTCTGGAATTTCATGTTAGTATTGTATGTTTTATGTAGGCGTTGAATGATTGTCATTGTTATGCTGGAATCCGCTCTGAGTCTCCTCAGGGAGATAGAATCACAGAATCATAGAATCAAAGAGTTGGAAGAGACCTCACGGGCCATCCAGTCCAACCCCCTGCCAAGAAGCAGGAATATTGCATTCAAATCACCCCTGACAGATGGCCATCCAGCCTCTGTTTAAAAGCTTCCAAAGAAGGAGCCTCCACCACGCTCCGGGGCAGAGAGTTCCACTGCTGAACAGCTCTCACAGTCAGGAAGTTCTTCCTCATGTTCAGATGGAATCTCCTCTCTTGTAGTTTGAAGCCATTATTCCGCGTCCTAATCTCCAAGGAAGCAGAAAACAAGCTTGCTCCCTCCTCCCTGTGGCTTCCTCTCACATATAGGGTGGAATACAAGTTGTTGTTATGTTGTGCCTTCTTCCTCACAGAACATAATCTCCACTTTTGAAAATATGATTTTCTAACCCAAACCGTCTTGTAGTTAGACAAGGACAAATGTTCTGTGGAAAAAAACGTCTGAACTAAACCCCAATTTTATCAGCAGAGAGTACTGAAGGTTGAGAAACCCCCTTTTTGCCCAGCTAAAAAACTGGGAGACTATTTTTACATCCCCTCCCCAGTCCGACCATCAATTTTCTACAGTAAGTTCAGAAACCTCAATATTCTTCCTCAATGTACCCCCTTATACTGTAAATAATCTTTTGAGCAAAATATTTTTTACTCCAGAACTAATTAGATCTGGAATGCCAGCCCTTAGTTGATAAGATGGAAATTTGACTTTTAAGGGGAGATGTTACTACTTTTATTATTCTCCAAAACAACAACAAAAACTTTACCTGACCTGCTCCCAATACTTTTTCTGCTTTTTACAGCATAATAAATAAGCACACTAAAAATTATAAATTATTTTGTAATTTTTTTATGCATTCAGAGAATAGAAAACAAGATTTTAAATAATGGGCATTAGTCAAAAATGCACAATGTGGACGACTTATATTATATCATAATAAAATGTTTAAGCTAGAGCTCTCATGAAAAGAGATACTGGGTTGTTGTAAGTTTTTTCAGGCTATATGGCCACGTTCTAGAGGCATTCTCTCCTGACGTTTCACCTGCATCTATGGCAAGCATCCTCAGAGGTAGTGACTCGCTACCTCTGAGGTTGCTTGCCATAGATGCAGGCGAAATGTCAGGAGAGAATGCCTCTAGAACATGGCCATATAGCCCGAAAAAACCTACAACAACCCAGTGATTCCGGCCATGAAAGCCTTAGACAATACAAAAGAAATAGTGTTCAGCCCTTTATCTGCTGTGCAGGTCTTCTCTCTGCACAGAGGGAAGCATTTTCAAATGTGATCTTTCTGTAATTTGAAATGGTTCTGTCCATTCTACTACATTGGTTTCCTGCCTGCAAAGACCACATCTTGAGGTGACTCACTTGATAGGATGATCCAGTTTACAACAATGTCAATTTTAAATTGATTATTTAATTTGTCCAAAATTATACTTTTTTTTAAAAAAAAGCAAAATATTGCCCTTCCACTCCTTCCAACTCTTGTGATTCTATGTAAACAAACACCTAAGCATGGAGGATTTATATTACTATGGTTGGTGCACCTGAAAAATATTCATCAATGCTCAGAAGAATAAAACCTAATATGGAATCAGAAGAAAACCTAATATTAAATAAGAAGAAGTACACTATTTGGGATTCATATTATTTTGTGTGCTCTTATTTTAATTATGGTTTCTTATTAAAAACGGAAAGAGGTTACCATGCTTGATTATACTAGGTTTGGGGATGATAAGGAATAAATCTCTGACATACAAATGAATTCCCATGCCAGCAAAAATATACAAAAAGGGGTATTGGAAGAGCAAATAAAATGGAGAACCTTACCCTTTACAAGCTGCAGGGTTGAGAAAAACAGTTGCTTTCTTTATCTGCATGCTAGAAGGTATAATCTGGTTGCCAAACACCTAAAATACAATAATGCAAAAAATTAAAACCATTATGTTTACCACTTTTTGGAGACTCACAGACACAGCACTGAAACTCCCTTAGTATTTTGGTTGTTACCAGAGTGTCTAGTTTAGGCATTCGTTAAGCATTATTGGCTGCAAATCGAACATATGTAGACAAACTGACATTATTTACAAGGAACTAACCCCTCCGCCCCCCCCAACCCCAAATTAAACCCAACAGTTAATTTCAATGAGAAAAATCAGTTACTTACATGGCTTGCTTACTGTGACCTACCTGTCACAATTTGATGTAAACTGAGTAGTAAGAATAAGTACTCTAAAATTTTACTAATAGTAGAACAACCAATAAATTTAATCTCAGTGCTTTTTGTGAGGATGGCTAAAACAAGGCATCTAAAACAATCATACTGAAAAAGCTCCACCGCTTTTCAAAACAGAGTAATTATTGTCATGACTGAACTTATTATAGCAGAGAATTTCAAATGTGTAGAAGTAAAGTTGAGCATTAAATTCTATGTATTGTACTGTAAATGGAAAGTGAAGGCAGAAGGTATGCAAGAGACAGCAATTCATGGGGGCACAGGGTAGAAGAAATAACTGGCATGTTATCTGAAGAACAGATGGGGAAAGTTAGTGATTAATTCTATTACTTTTGCATTCTTGAGGGAAATCAAAGAAAATGACTGCATTCATAATTTTCTGTGCTGTTACAGCTGTTGGAAACATCTAATTATTCCACTGGTGGGGAGAAGGAAAATCTCTATCTAGTCTAACAAAAACCCGTCTTTTCTACAAATTATACTTTTGTCAGACTGCCATTTTGGCAGGTTTGTATTCATGCATTCAAATCTGGAGGTGGGCAGGAGGTCAGCAATCTTTGTAATGACTTATAACCATAAACAGAGGAGAGGGAGAGAAGCACCTAGAAAGCTCATTTTATGATAAATTTGTTTTATGTTGTACCACAATCTCTCCTTCTTTTTACAGTAAACACTGGATGCCATCCAGCCTTCCCCAACATGGTGAACTCACCAGACATTTTGGATTATGGCAAGTGTTTCCTTAATGAAACACTTGCCTTTCCTTAAATTAACTTTTATTCATTAACCTACCAAGCTTTACATGTTTAAAAAAACCCAAAATAATTCCCTGTACTCAGGATTACAATAGATTAAGATGGCAAAACAAAAGGAAATTGAGGCCAGGACAGTTTATTTCCGTGTCAGGAGCAACTTGAGAAACTGCAAGTCACTTCTGGTGTGAGAGAATTGGTTGTCTGCAAGGACGTTGCCCAGAGGACGCCCAGATGTTTAACCATCCTGTGAGAGGCTTCTCTCATGTCTCTCATGAGGAGCTGGAGCTGACAGATGGGAACTCACCCCACTCCCCATATTCGAACCATCGACTTTTTGGTCAGCAGTCTAGCCGATACAAGGGTTTAACCTATTGCGCCAAACATTTTAACTGGATGGTGACTTTCAGAACAGAAGTGCAGTAATGTTTTATTAAGCCATCTTATGCATTTTAAAATCAAGTAAGTCACATTTGTCCATAAACTGAAAGTTTTAGGGGTTTCTTTTGTCTATTTCTATAGTCCTTACATGACTATATACATATACGGTACTGAAATAGCCATTTTATTTCTAAGCAGTAGTAGTGTCCAACAATTTTTAATGAGCGTCTCCTTTGAAATCTGTGATTTTAGACCTTGAGACTTGAACAATTGTCCATTCATTGATTTGCACAGAAAAATCTAAGCCTTTTTTCCATTCACCTCTAACTCCAATGTCATCAAATTTGTTTCTTTCTTTTTTTTCCAATAGCTATCTGTAACTATGCCTTTTGGTTACACATCTCTGCAGATACTATTAGTATTTGTATCACTGAGGGAGTGACTGAGATGCTCAAGCTGATTGTCTATATATAGAGAGAGACACTAGAATATTTACAATTGTAAATATTGCCATACTATACCAGTTGTTGTTCATTCGTTCAGTCGTCTCCGACTCTTCGTGACCTCATGGACCAGCCCACGCCAGAGCTCCCTGTCGGCCGTTACCACCCCCAGCTCCCTCAAGGTCAGTCCAGTCACTTCAAGGATGCCATCCATCCATCTTGCCCTTGGTCGGCCCCTCTTCCTTTTGCCTTCCACTTTCCCCAGCATAATTGTCTTCTCTAGGCTTTCCTGCCTCCTCATGATGTGGCCAAAGTACTTCAACTTTGTCTCTAGTATCTTTCCCTCCAGTTAGCAGTCGGGCTTTATTTCCTGGAGGATGGACTGGTTGGATCTTCTCGCAGTCCAAGGCACTCTCAGAACTTTCCTCCAACACCACAGCTCAAAAGCATCGATCTTCCTTCGCTCAGCCTTCCCTAAGGTCCAGCTCTCACATCCGTAGGTTACTACAGGGAATACCATTGCTTTGACTATGCGGATCTTTGTTGCCAGTGTGATGTCTCTACTCTTTACTATTTTATCGAGATTGGACATTGCTCTCCTCCCAAGAAGTAAGCGTCTTCTGATTTCCTGGCTACAGTCTGCATCTGCAGTAATCTTTGCACCTAGAAATAGAAAGTCTGTCACGGCCTCCACGGTTTCTCCCTCTATTTTCCAGTTGTCAATCATTCTTGTTGCCATAATCTTGGTATACCAGAGCATAAATGAAAAGGCATTTCTTGACTTGGGCCTATCAGTTGAGCCAAATATAGATCCTGCAATCACCCACTTTTCCCATTTAAAATACTGTTTTTTTAGTTTTCAAATTGGGATTGTCCTGTAAAGTTAATTTAAATCAAATTTTAACAATATATCAGCCTATCTTGGCAATAAAAACTAGAGACAACATTATCTGTTTGCTCCTTAAATACAAAGAACCCAAAAAAGTCCAAAAGAGATACCAAACACACCAGAACACTTTCAATATAATAAATGTGATGGCCATGGATTCTAGAAGTCATAAGAGAAGTACATCACCTTACAAGTGTAAAAGAGAACATATGACATTCTGTAATGAGTAGAAGTCATTTTTTCAGATTATGAAATCTAGCAAAATGTTTTCTATTTTCTTGGAATCTTTTCCCCTTTTGAACAAGGCCTGAAATACCATATTCACAATAAAAAGCTGCACTTTGATTGGAGTTTATGAAATATGATTTCAGAGTTTATGGTCCAATCCCTTTTAGCCTCTATATTAACTTAACAGAAACAGATTAAGTCACCTGAACAGGCATACAAAATAATCAAAACTATCCACCATTACAGTGTTTCTGAATAAATTGTGAGGGCACCAAATCTGAGATGTAACTAGAAGCAAAGTAGAGGTCTTGCAGGGAGATGAAAATATTTTGTGGGATCTCAGGAAAGAAAGCAGGCAGCTCCTTTTTCAGGTAAGTCACATAAAGGAGACCTAGTGGAGAAATCTCCAGAATCCTGCACAGGTGAGATAAGGAGGCAGTATTGATCTAATTTGATCTTGTTCAACGGTATTACCTGTGCTTCTTGGCATGCAGCTCTCCTTAGCAAGTTATCACTATTGAGAAACAAAACAACAAAAAAGAATGGGTGTTAGATGGCAAACGTTGAAGGGAAGGAAGATAGATAGATAAATGCTTGCACTAAAAGTATCTAAGACAGTGGTTCTCAAACTGTGGGTCCCCAGATGTTTTGGCCTTCAACTCCCAGAAATCTTAACAGCTGGTAAACTGGCTGTGATTTCTGGGAGTTCTAGGCCAAAACATGTGGAGGCCCACAGATTGAGAACCACTGATCTATGACTATTGTTCTGACAGACAAAACTTTTCAGCAGGACTGTCTGTCAAGAACACATATCATGTAATCCTCTTAATTGTATGAAGCCACATCCCTTCTTTCTCTGCCTATGTCTTCATTGCTATGCCATATGCCATGAGACTAAAATTGCATAATACACCTCATTCGCAAAATACCACAAAACTCTAGAAAACATTTTTCCAGGCTTATTTCTGAATGATATAATCAAACCTAGTAAGTGGGAAATTAATTCTGTACACATTTACATTTATCCTGCCCCCCCCCCCCCAAATACAATGGAAAGCTAGTAATTGTACTTTCAGATTGGGTCTTCAACATCATATGAGCTCCAATTTCCCCGATTCTCCTTGTTGCTGCCAAGGATATGAAACTGATGGGTAGCCATAAAGGCGTGGGAGCTAGAAGACCGAGACTGGAGTGTGGTACCAAAGGAAAGGCATGGGTTAGAGTCAAAGGCTGGTCACCTCCAATTTGACAACAGCATGAATACATGTCTGCATTTTTAAAGCTTGAGATTTTATATATTCATCTATTCTAGAAGAGATGTTTCATGCTATCGTATTTTGTTTTCATTACTGCCAAGGAAACCCCAGGTAGATGAGGATGAAGGATATAAATATAATGAATAAATAGGCAAAATGTATGTTCCTCCTTATTAATGCAACAATTCTTTCCCTGTAATCATCATTAAAATTGGTCTTGAAATGTTAAGGAATTAGGAGCTGAAGAACTGTGGTGGCAGAGGTAATTCAAAGAAGCTCCTTCCTATGGAGAATGTGTTCTTGACCTAATTCATGTAGCCTGAAGTGCTCTGGGTTGAGCAAGAACATTACTTTTGCTTGACAGGGAGTAAAGGTCAGGCTGGAAAAAGCCCCAAAAGAGCTTGACTGTGCCCCAATGAAGTAGAGGTCGGGGACATAAAGACCAGAGGGCAAAAGGAAGCCTGTCACCAGGCCTCTGGTGCTACAAAAGGTCAGATGATGCTTATTTCAATTTCACTCAGACAATATACTGGAGTTTTGCTAACAGAGAGCACATCATTTGGCTTGTTACAGAATCATTTACTTTAGGACATTTTACCCTTCTTTGCTTATTCTACTTTTTGGAGTCACACAACTTCTTTGGTTTTTCTAACATTATTGCCACCATAGCTTTTCTTGTGTTACAGAAAATTGATTTCAGATAGAGAATCAATCAAGATAAATCCAAACTAAGCAACAAGAGAAACTCTGTCAATAGGAAACCTTTAGTGAAAATAATGGGACAAACAGAAACATGCTTCTTAAGCGACAGAATGTATAAATAATATATTACTCCAATTTATGCCTAATTGGAATATTTATCAAAGTATTCCTTAGAGAAATTCTTCTTAACATAATGTTTGCTCTTCAGATTCAGAGAAATAAATCATGTGTGTTCAGAACCAGGAACATTGTTTTAAAAAACAGGACTGACTAGTGACTAATTGCAGTAATTTGCTAAGTACTAGTTAAAAACCAACTTTAGTACTGAAATGAATTGGACAGTCACACTATATCTTATCGATGCATGTTGTGTACAAACCAATATATCCATTATAAAGGCCAAATATGGAGCAGTAGCGTGTGTGAAAAGTAGTATGCTGTATTTTTTATCTTTTATTGAAAGTTTATTCTAAGTTGTTTTAGCTTTTTTAAAGCATGTTTATAATATAACAATAATATTGTTAGTTAATTTTGTTCAACTTATGTAAATTAATGTTTTAATTAATATTTTTAGAATTATTTTAAGCTGCCTTGAATCCATTTTGGGGAAAATATGGGATATGAATTCAATGAAAACAACATCTTTTTTTCTACCATACAAAGTCTGCTGGGCAAAAACATAAGAAGGGATAGTTATATTAAAGGGTCCTCCCAATACCCTGCTGAATATTTGAGCACCTAGGAAAGACTAAAAAAAATAAAAGCTTGGCTGGTGCATCAGAGAACAAGGACAACTTTCTTGGGCTTCCTGGCCTAATTATCTGAGTTTTTCAATGTTAGGTTAAACAGAAACTTTGCCAAAATATTGCACAGATCTGTTAACATCTATTTCAGGGACAGAAGTCACAGCACTGCCCTTTAAGCCAAGGTTGTGAGAACAGGGAGGACACAGGGTGGTACACAATGTAACAGTTGCCCTGCAGGTCAAATGACAAATGCAACTTGAAGGTGAAGGCCCATGAATTTCAATTAATGCCACTAAATATTTAAATGTAAGTTACATCTAAGAGGACCAGTTGTTTTATTTCTCTGGATTACATCCAAAGCACTCCAAATCACAGGAAAGGAAATCCATGTAGGTTTCTATGCACAAAATGCTGCCAAGAAACTACTATGGGATTGGGAGGGGGGATGTCATCTGCATTCAGTAACCCTAGTTGCACTTATAGTTCTGGACAAAATTCAGAGATCCATAAACACATCAATAAGACTTGTACCTGATGCCACACTCTTCAAGCAACCTTTCCTTTGCTGGAAGTGACAAGGAAAAACTGGATTCAGGAATGTTACTGCTCTCACAGATCTCTGCTACAAGCTATGTTCATTTCATTTACTAACACTAAATTGATTTGATTTGATTTGATTTATTAAAACATGAACCAGCTATTCCTCAACCCTGATTCTTAGAACAGAACAAAGTATAAAAGAGAGTATTAAAAACATAAACACTACACCAAAGTACAGCAAATGATAAAAATCTAATATGAAAACAAAAAAGAAATGAATTTAAAACACCTGGGCAAATAACAAGAAATTTAATCTAGTGTCCCCCAAAAGATGGCAAAATGTTAATGTCTTTTATCATGTAGTAAAAAGGATGACACTTAATTCAATTCACCACCAAGGATGTGACGGCGCAAGTGGCGCCACCTATGTATAGAACTGTTCGTTGTAAGATTTAAACTGTTGTATCATGCTTAATCCTGCCCTTTTTACCCTGCTTATGTATAGTTGTATGGATTGGTTGCTTGTAGCTGTCAATCAGTACTGTTTGGCTCCACCTCTTCCTGCAAGAGGGGAGAGCTTCCTTTTTCTTTTCATTCTGCCATCAGAGTTCATACCACATGCCGTGAGTAAAAGACTTGACTCTAAAGGACCCTGATTTAAATTACCTCTTAGCACCAGTTTTGAGGTTTTTTACCCTTGGGACTCATGCTTTATGTCCAGATCGCCCTGGACAATTATTGAGGAGACCCAAGCGCCTTCAAACCGGTTCTTTTGACACCAAAGGAAGATCCTGAGTCTTCAAAACATAGGCCATCTGAACTGGGGTTGTGGTTTGCTCCGGCATTCACAACCATTGAGGAAAGAGGAAACTTGGTGAGGCTTCTCAGCTTCAAACCCCTTGGACCCAGGACTAATTGAAACCGTAACGTATGTTTTCCTTCACCCCTCTGAAGTTTTCCAGCTCATTGCTTTAAAGAAATGACTTTGTGATAGATAAAACTTATTTTGAGCTATTTACAGTGTTTTGGGTTTTTGGGAGTTCCAGTTTCCTATAGGAGGGCAAGAAGCAATCCCTTGGGGGAAAGGTGCCACGTCCATCCCTCCTTTATTAAGACTAATAGCCCCCAAGCGCGACGGCACAAAGGAGTAAGAAGGCAGTAAGGCAGACAGCATGTTTGTAAAGTTACTCCACCAAGCAATTACCACCACAACCAAGCAATCATCACCAAGGAAATTTTGCAGTGATTATGTCCTTAGGTAAAATGGACATTTGCTTGTGGCTATATGCTTTGAAATTGCAGACATATGGAAATCCTAAGACAGGCCGATGTCAGGGTTTTTCAGTAGCAGAATGCGACCTGCCAAAGGCCATCTAGTGAATTTCGATGGCAGAGCAGACTTGAATTCTGAACTCCTAAAGTCAAACTACTACATTACACTGAGTCACAGTAATTCTACCCACACTTTTTAAGGGTTCGTAACTCTCAGTTATGTCCAAAAGCAAAATTAAATCTATCAATTTCCAGCTAATGACACATTGCTTCACTATTATGACAAACTATCGAACAGCACCTCCACACCCATAAGGTAGGATCTTGGGGTAGCAAAGACTCCTCGTATTTTATACCCCTGATGGGACATTTCCAAAAGTCAAGGACCACATACCATACTTCAGAGGGTCCCTTTTCCACAATGCCCTCCTGAAATGCCTTTACTCAAAAAGCCCTTTTATGACCTTTAAAGCTTATGGGAGGCAATTTTGACATGCTTGTTCCGACTGTGTGATTTAGTTTCTGAGGGTGTCAAACGTGTGACTCTCCAGATGTTTGAGCCTCCAACTCGCAGAAGCCCTACCCAGCTTGTCCAACAGCCAGGAATGATGGGAGCTGATGTCCAAAAACCTGGCGGGCCAAATGTTTGACACTACTGTTGTAGAGGCTTCAGGGAATTTATTGCACTGAGGGGAAGGGGCAAAACAAAAGTTAAGGTGGGTGCCTTGAGGACTGGATGGGAAACAGAGGTGCCATTTTGCCCATCTATGTTTATAGTATGCTTGAAAAAAAAAGTACCTCTGAACTAATGTCACACACCAGAGTTCTGTATAAGCAAAGCAGTTTATTGAAGAATAAAAATAGCTTAGGCAAAAGGATAAAAAAATAATCAAAAGTAGAATGACATATTGTCCATAAAAACATGGAAAACAAGAATCCAAACATCAAGTTCAGGAAACAGGAATGACCAAAACCATGACAAAATTCAAGGACAAAAA